TTATTTTTCTGTTTCTGGAAATGAAAACACTGGGCACCATAACAACTTTATTTCAATGACATTCCGTATGTTCAGATGAGCACCATCTTCGTAATTTTGGAATTGATGCATTCATAAACTCATAAATGGTTTAACCCCACAAGGTAAGACAGAACCAAAGACCTCCTGGTACCATAACAACTTCAATGATATTACGCTGTTCTGGTACCTGAAGTGTTCATTTATGTTGTTCAGTAAATTTCAATGTCTTCTGTGTAAATGACATGACATGTCTGTCTCTTTTTTATGTAGCTTACAATGTTTATAATATTCTTTGGATTCAAAAACAAGAAATGACCAAGGTTTTACAAGTGAGCAAATCCATTTGGAAACTAATACTTTATTATGATTATTAATTTTTTAGGTGATTTTGGTATCAGTTGCCAGAAGATGTTAAACTCATCAGTAAACATCACAGGCTGCGAGCCTCAGAAAATCAATCATTTTATTCCTATATTCTTAAGTTTTGTGTTCTTCGTTGGATTCATATTAAACTGTATCAGTTTGTGGATCTTTTGGTTCCGGATCAGACAATGGAATTCAACCGTGATCTTACAGTTCAACTTGGCCATCGCTGATGCCATCATCACACCCGCGGCTCCCCTGATCATTGCATATTCCTTGACCGATGACTGGATCTTTGGTACTTTCCTTTGTCAACTCAAAGTCTTCTTGCTGAGCGCTCACATGTACGGGAGCATCTACTTCCTCACCTTGATCAGTCTGCACAGATACTTCACCGTGGCTCACAATATAAAAGGATCAATTTTGACCAAAAAGTCATTCATCACCAAACTTTGCCTCATTGTCTGGGGATGTCTTTGTTTCCAAGGATTTCCATTTTTCTTCACCATGAGAACCTCAGATATTCACGGAGCCACAAAATGCCTCAGTTTTCATCAATCAGATCTGGTGGTTTTGTTCTTCGTGTGGAACTGGGTGATTATCTTCTCTGGACTCCTTGTACCATTCACCATAACAATTATATGTTACAGTCTCTTAAGTAGATATATTCTCAAAGTGAATCCCATGAACTCTACCAGTCAAATTATGCTGAATAAATCAGTACGGACCATAACAGTGTCTTTAGTAATATTTATTGTCTGCTATGTGCCAGTTCATATCACTAGAACATTAGGTGTCACCATCGCCTTGTTCTTTCCTTCTTTCTGTACTTTGCTTGAGAACGTTGAGGTTGCCTATTACATTACCTGGATGTTATCAGGAACAAATTGCTGTATGGATCCAATACTTTACTGTTTTGCTTCTGAAAATTTTAAAAACACCTTCATGAGGGGCTTCACCTTGCTGCAGAGGTTCAGAAGAAGTTTGAGGGTCACAGCAGCCAACGATCAATCTTTACAAGGAGACTCAGCTTCACACGAACGTCCAAGTGGACTTCATCTTACTGTTAGCACCGTAAACACAGACTTGACTCCGGAAAGTGCGAGTAATAGCAATGCGTGAGGCATTTAATGGAAAGGAAATTACTGGCCATTTGTTGGTGTACCAAACTTGGTATTCTCGGCTGATTTATGATGCATCACCCACAATGAATGGGTCTTCAAAAACTTTATCGAGAAGAATTTAAGAAGCATTCACTTGACCCGCTTGCATCCACATTGTCCCATTTAAGGAAAATTGTGCCATGCTTTTAAAGACTTTAGGTGGGTGATAGCTAAAATTGCACCCTAGATAATTGTAAACTACATTTCCCACAATTCAAAGTCTGCCTCAACTTGTAAATAAGCACTTGAAGTTATTTCCTAAGTATAATTATTGTGTATAATGTGTGTAATGTGGGTGAGGGGAGATGTAAATGTGATGATTTCATAAAAATCCATTCATCAATTCATGCATTTAACTTTTAATGATTTAATACTTTGTATAATTAAAATTATTTTCACAATTTGCACGTGCCTTTGGTTTCATTCATTTGTGTTTTCTCAAAAGTTCTACAAACATTTTGAAGCAATTTGGAGCAGATAGGAGGCAAATGTTAGAGAATATTTACACAATTTACTTTCCCCCAAAATTTGTTAAACTGCCTTTGATTTGATCCAAGTGGTTCCAAAGTAGTTGTGAATCAGTCTGAAGTAGTTAGATTGACCTTGAGAGATCAGGAGAAACTAAGGAACTTATTCCCGAATTGCTTGGATACACGGTCAGCAAGGCAGTCTTTATCAAGAACTCGATGGGCATTTGAGAAGCCACTCCAGAAGCCAATTCCAGAATAATAACACAACATTAAACATGGCATTTACCAAGGTGATCTGAATTTTATTTATATGCAGCTATATTATTATTATTATTATTATCCCAGAATAGGTCAGAATCCAATCACAAAGCACATCTAGTTATTACAGATAAAATAAATATTGATGTTGTCATGAAAGACTATGAGAGCAGAATATTCCAGTGGAATCCGTGTGTCATCCACACCATCTCAGGTTGCTGAAGCCGATGTAATATTGACTTGCACAGGTGTACACAGTATTGGTTGCCATGGCAATGCACACCTGAGCTAAGGGAATGTGATAAATACTTTATCTCTCAGGAAGGGAATGTAGACAATTTGTCAGATTTTCAACAAATTTATTTAGTTTAGAAAAACGTCACCTCGGAGGGGATATGGTAATGTTATACAAATATATTCGGGGCCAATACAAACCATTGTGTGGAAATCTATTCACAAACCGGACTTTACATAGGACACGAGGCCATGCGTTTAGACTGGAAGAAAGAAGATTTAATCTAAGGCAAAAGAAAGTTGTTGTTTTTTTACAGTAAGAGCAATCAGGATGTGGAATTCTCTGCCTGAAGAAGTGGTTTTATCAGAGTCCATACAGATGTTCAAACAACTACTAGATGCATACTTGCAAAAACAGAATATTCAAGGATATAATCTTTCAATGTAGGGTAATAACTGCTTGATCCAAGGATAAATCTGACTGCTATTCTGGAGTCAAGAAGGAATTATTTCCTAGTTTGTAGCAAAATTGGTGCTTCAAACTAGTTTTTTTTGCCTTCTTTTGAATGAACAGCAAAAAACAAATGTGAGAAAGGCTGAACTTGATGGAAACACGTCTCTTTTCAGCTATGTAACTATGTAACAAATATTTATAAGTCGAGGACAGACTAATAAATAAATAGGTAAACAGACGTTCAGAGCAATGTAGAAAGGTATACGTCCATTTTGTGTTTGGTTGAGAAAAAGAAATACAAGGAAATATTATTTATTCTGTTTGTAATAATAATAATAATGTCAGTCCTTTAGATTATATAGAAATTTTATAGGTAGGTATCTCTATGGTGTGTGAACAGAAGCCATCTCCCTGGTTGACCAGGAATTAATTTACATTGAAACTAATATGGAGTCACACAATCCCCTCTTACATTGTTAATGATCGGCATCCTAAAATCCTATGATTACTCTTACAGCAGAGACACAGCAGGATGCAGACAGAATAAAGTCTCACACTGTATCAGGTAATGCAAGGACCCTGGGGAGATATTTGGAATCTGGGTAGATGTGTGGACCCTGGAGAGATTCTTAGAACCTGAGGAGATGTTTGGACCCTGGTGAGAAGTTTGGAATCTGGGGAGATGTGTGGACCCTGGGGAGATGTTTGGAAACTGGGTAGATGTGTGGACCCTGGGGAGATGTGTGAAACCTTAAGGAAAGTCTGGGTGGAACTGGAATCATGGGAGAAGTGGTGAACCTAGGAAGCAATGGGGAAGAATGGGGAGCCTGGAAAAAAGTGGGGAATCTGGAAAGAATTAAGGTGTCTGGAGAGGTGTGGGGAGTCTTGGGAGCCAAGTAAGAAGCAGGGAGTCTGGGTAGGTACAGAAAGTCTGGTATGTAGCAGGGAGCCTTGGGAGAAGCTGGGACCCTGGGGAGGTACAGAAAGTCTGGGAAGTAGCAGGGAGCCTAGGGAGGAGTAAAGACAGTGTGGGGAGCCAAGGCAGATGCAGGGAGCCTCTATAAAACCTGGGATTCCAGAGAGGAGCAGGGAGACTGAGCTGGTGTCGGGAGTGTGGGAAAAAAGCACTGATTTTATGGAGGGGCTGGCAGCCTGAGCTGGAGCAGGAAGTCTTGGAGAAGCAGGGAGTCTGGGGAAAATCAGGGTTTCTGGGGATGAGCAGGAAGTCTGGGGAGAAGGGTGGAGTCTGGTATCGAACTTGGAGTATAGAAGGGAACTAGCCACTAAGTAGGAAGGGAGCTTGGTGAAGATCGGGGAGCCTGGAACAGTTTAGAATTATTAGAGTGAGCTAGTGGCCTGGGAGGAAAAGGGAGCTTGGGACAGAGAATGGATCTTTCGAAGGAACGGGTTGCCTTGTAGGGTAAGGGAGCTTGGGAAGAAACAGTATGACTGGGATGAAACCAAATGCAAAAACAAACAAACAAAAACCATATGTTGTCACCATGGAAAGATCTATCTGAAATATGTACCTGACTCACTGACTTGACCCAATCACCTGACCAAATCACCTAACCCATTGACGTGACCTGCACTCAATAACCCCTAAAGGAATCTTGGTTAGGAATCTTTAGGTTAACTTTATGACCATGCAGAGCATCTTTATGATAAGATCTCATTTTTAGATGTCCTTGTGAAAGGTGAATCGAGCCATCTTCGGAACAAATCCATCAGTTTTCTCCTGGACACCTTTATAACTTTATTTGAAGGAATAAAGATCTACCGTCTGTCCTATGCTAAATATTGATACGCTTGAAACGTATTGATAAACCATCAACCATCATTTGTCACGCACTCCATCTATACTTTTTATTGATCTGTGTGATTGGGGAGCATTTTTCCTTGGCACTCACGATGGCGGAAGTGAGTGAAATCTCTCCAGATGTACTGCGCTGTACGGTGTGTCTGGAAGACTATCGAGCTCACGGGCCCCTGAAGCCACGGATATTGCCAGTCTGCTTACATACATTCTGCGAAGGTTGTCTTGAGAAACTTGGACAGGACAATGTTTACAGTATCTCGTGTCCCATATGTCGCGTGTTCAATAATGTTTTTGGGAAAGACGGTATCCAAACACTGCCCATTAACACCAAAGTGCCCTACTTCGAGACTGTGGAGGAAGAGACAGAGGAAACCAACCTCTTGGATTTCATTGACCCAGACATGCCATCCTGCCCAGTCTGCGGGGGCATCACACTGTTTGCCCCATTCGGTGAGGAGGCAGACATTACGCAGTGCCACACTTGCCAGTGGGTAAGTGTAGAAATGTTGGAGATCACAGAACGGAATGAGTTTACAAGTCATACTCCGATATGTGAAAACACTGATAGAACATTATATCAAAACAAGGGAGCCCAAACCCAAAATACAGCACCCCCATCTGGCCGAAGGAAGAGTCTGCTTCTCAGAATGATCAACTACCTGAGGTAAGATAGAGATTCAGTAACTGGGCATATAAGCATGTTATAGTGGGTGCGGGTGCATGTTATAGTGTGGGTGTGAGTTATAATATAGGTGCGTGTTACAATATAGGTGTGAGATAGTATAGGTGTGTGTTATAGTATAGGTGCGTGTTATAATATAGGTGTGAGATAGTATAGGTGTATGTTATAGTATGGGTGCGTGTTATAGTATGGGTGCGTGTTATAGTATGGGTGTATGTTATAGTATGGGTGTGTGTTATAGTATGGGTGTATGTTATAGTATAGGTGTATGTTATAGTATAGGTGCATGTTATAGTATGGGTGCATGTTATAGTATGGGTGCATGTTATAGTATAGGTGTATGTTATAGTATGGGTGTGTGTTATAGTATGGGTGTATGTTATAGTATAGGTGCGTGTTATGATATAGGTGCGTGTTATAATATAGGTGTGAGATAGTATAGGTGTATGTTATAGTATAGGTGCATGTTATAGTATGGGTGTGTGTTATAGTATAGGTGTATGTTATAGTATGGGTGTGTGTTATAGTATAGGTGCATGTTATAGTATAGGTGTATGTTATAGTATGGGTGTGTGTTATAGTATAGGTGTATGTTATAGTATGGGTGTGTATTATAGTATAGGTGCGTGTTATAGTATAGGTGCGTGTTATAGTATAGGTGTATGTTATAGTATGGGTGTGTGTTATAGTATAGGTGTGTATTATAGTATAGGTGTATGTTATAGTATAGGTGTATGTTATAGTATGGCTGTATGTTATAGTATGGCTGTATGTTATAGTATGGCTGTATGTTATAGTATGGGACGGGTTTTATGTTATAGTATGGGTGTGTGTTATAGTATGGGTGTGTGTTATAGTGTGGGTGTATGTTATAGTATAGGTGTATGTTATAGTATGGGTGTATGTTATAGTATGGGACGGGTTTTATGTTATAGTATGGGTGTGTGTTATAGTATGGGTGTGTGTTATAGTGTGGGTGTATGTTATAGTATAGGTGTATGTTATAGTATAGGTGTGTGTTATAGTATAGGTGTATGTTATAGTATAGGTGTGTGTTATAGTATGGGTGTGTGTTATAGTATGGGTGTGTGTTATAGTATGGGTGTATGTTATAGTATGGGTGCGTGTTATAGTATGGGTGCGTGTTATAGTATAGGTGCATGTTATAGTATGGGTGTATGTTATAGTATGGGTGCGTGTTATAGTATGGGTGTGTGTTATAGTGTGGGTGTATGTTATAGTATAGGTGTATGTTATAGTATAGGTGTGTGTTATAGTATAGGTGTATGTTATAGTATAGGTGTGTGTTATAGTATGGGTGTGTGTTATAGTATGGGTGTGTGTTATAGTATGGGTGTATGTTATAGTATGGGTGCGTGTTATAGTATGGGTGCGTGTTATAGTATAGGTGCATGTTATAGTATGGGTGTATGTTATAGTATGGGTGCGTGTTATAGTATGGGTGCGTGTTATAGTATGGGTGTGTGTTATAGTATGGGTGCGTGTTATAGTATGGGTGCGTGTTATAGTATAGGTGTGTATTATAGTATAGGTAGACAGGTGGATCATTTCACCGCAGTTCACTGTTTAGTAGATAAACCCTCTTGATTCTTTCAGTGTCTGAGAGATGGATAATGAATGTTCTTCTTAATAGCAATCAGAGCAAATATCTGGAGCAATCTAGCAGAAGTGGAGAATATTCCCTGAGGATTACGGGAATTGTGGCCAAAACGTCAGTTAGTCGACACTTTGTATTTTATGCTCTGGAGATCAGTTTTCTGTCCATAAATATCGTGAAACTGCAGAATTTTGGGGGGAGGGGGAGTTAGGTGAGCAATGTTCCATTGGGTTCCACATTATAAAGAGGAGATTAAATGACAAGTTGAAGGCGTGTTAGGAAACTCTATAAAGTCTGTACATTTCTACAAAGATGGCGAAGAGTTAAAAGTGAGAAACTGAAAGTGATAGAAGTAAGAAAGAGAAAGAAAAATGGTTGTTTTTAGTTTTAGTGAAAGAGACTGTCTGGGCGTTAGTTTTATGAGAGGACTGGTAGCTCGGTTAGGGCGGAGTTAAACACTATAAGCTTAGAAATGTAAATCGAGGATTATGGAATATATTTGGAAAAATAATAATATAGGATTAAATACAAAATGTATTAAAAGTCCAAAAAACATATAGAAAAAAAAAAAGAAAATAAGATAAGAGGGTGTAACGGACCGTTTCAGCACACAAGGGGTTAAAACCGTTTAGGCGTCGTCCCCTTCCAGAGACACAGGCACAGCTACTGCAGAACACCAATCCGCCAAACAGGAAACCATACGAATGCCGTAAACAGCCGAATAGGAAAAACCATACGAATAGGTTTACACTCCTAGCAGGCAAACTGGAACAGCATACAATAACCCCCCCCCCCAAGAATGAGACCAAGCTCCGTGTTGAGGGTCAAGCAGTGAACAGACAGAGCTGTGGGTTTATTGTGCTTATGTACACATTCTTACACATTAGTACCACCCACAGGGTTTTGGAACACAACCAATAAAACACATACAATACACTCAGACACTCCCACACAAATTCCTCCCCTCTGCATGTGATTCAATTACCTTACACAATGGGTAATGTAATTTAGCACAAGCAGAGAAATACAATTTTTCCACATTATTCATAACTTGAAAAGTATGCATCACATTCACATAAAACTTACATTTCAGAATCAGCATACTCCAAATACAAACATATACGTCAAAATCATACAAATTGGTCCAGTGGTTCAAAAGATAGATCGTAGTCCTTTGTGACCACAGGAAGCATGGCTTTTCTGCCCAAAACCAGTTCCACAGAGTCTTCTATCCTGGAGATAATTGGGAAGTAATCAAATATTCTCCAAAGACAGAGGCAAAACTCCATTGAACACATGGCAGCAAAAAGACAGTAAAATACAATAAAATACACAAGGTTACATTAATGACATAAAATACAGATATGCAACATATCCCCAGATAGCTTAGGTCTGAGCGCACATTATTACTGAATGGCGCTCAGAGCACACACATGCAGTTCAATTGCCATGGAGCTAAAGTCTTTCCCATAGTCTTTCATTATACGAATGGGCTCCATGGCATAGCTATCTGGGGTATCACTGCTCAAACAGGGCAAGCACCAAATGACCCGGCTTTCGTGTCTTTGCAGGGGAAAATCAAGCCTTTTAACATGGGGCCATAATCCAAAGGCAACAGGCGAGCAACCAGGCTTCTCCAATGCAATGTGGCGAGATTGGTCTCGTCACAGAGAGGAACAGAAATAGAAAAGCCATAAAAAGAATGAAAGCTATAAACTCCCACTAATCCCAGCCAACCTTTAAGTAACATATCCAGAAATATTTTAGCGTCTGCCTGTGGGATAATGTTGTTTTATTGGAGTCAGGGTGTAACGCCGAACTGAAACCGTATTCACAAACATATGGGCTTTACTAGTCACTGTGGACATACACTCCTCCAGTGAGTCTCATTGATTTCCGTGGGGGAAGCACTGCGCATGTTCCAGTGAGTCTCATTATAGGGGAGCACTGCGCATGTTCCAGTGAGTCTCATTATGGGGGAAGCACTGCGCATGTTCCAGTGAGTCTCATTATGGGGGAAGCACTGCGCATGTTCCAGTGAGTCTCATTATGGGGGAAGCACTGCGCATGTTGCAGTGAGTCTCATTATGGGGGAGAACTGCGCATGTTCCAGTGAGTCTCATTATGGGGGAGCACTGCGCATGTTCCAGTGAGTCTCATGGGGGAGCACTGCGCATGTTCCAGTGAGTCTCATTATGGGGAAGCACTGCGCATGTTCCAGTGAGTCTCATTATGGGGAAGCACTGCGCATGTTCCAGTGAGTCTCATTATGGGGGAGCACTGCGCATGTTCCAGTCAGTCTCATTATGGGGGAGCACTGCGCATGTTGCAGTGAGTCTCATCATAGGGGAGCACTGCGCATGTTCCAGTCAGTCTCATTATGGGGGAGCACTGCGCATGTTCCAGTGAGTCTCATGGGGGAGCACTGCGCATGTTCCAGTGAGTCTCATTATGGGGGAGCACTGCGCATGTTCCAGTGAGTCTCATGGGGGAGCACTGCGCATGTTCCAGTGAGTCTCATTATGGGGAAGCACTGCGCATGTTCCTGTGAGTCTCATTATGGGGAGCACTGCGCATGTTCCAGTGAGTCTCATTATGGGGGAGCACTGCGCATGTTCCAGTGAGTCTCACTATGGGGGAAGCACTGCGCATGTTGCAGTGAGTCTCATTATGGAGGAAGCACTGCGTATGTTCCAGTGAGTCTCATTATGGGGGAGCCCGGAGCACTGCACATGTTCCAGTGAGTCTCATTATGGTGGAGCACTGCGCATGTTGCAGTGAGTCTCATTATGGGTGAGCACTGCGCATGTTCCAGTGAGTGTCATTATGGGGGAAGCACTGCGCATGTTCCAGTGAGTCTCATTGATTTCTGTTCGCTTTATAGGTAGGTAACAATAAGGTAAATAATAATATTGTCATGATCTTTAGCAGGTCAGATAGGAGACTTATGCCAGGGTTCACTTCAGGTACTTTATTATTGATTATTGACATATTATGAAATTTGAGGCAAAACAGAATTTAGGTAATATGCCACAAAACAGGATACTTGCAAATAATAAAAATTGTCTGTTATTTTCAGGTAGGGTTGTAACAAAGGCAGGTTGGTAACAGTGGCAGGTTGGTCACAGTGGCGGGCTGGTCACGGTGACGGGCTGGTCACAGAGGCGGGCTGGTCACAGTGGCGGGCTGGTCACAGAGGCGGGCTGGTCACAGAGGCGGGCTGGTCACAGTGGCGGGCTGGTCACAGTGGCGGGCTGGTCACAGTGGCGGGCTGGTCACAGTGGCGGGCTGGTCACAGAGGCGGGCTGGTCACAGTGGCGGGCTGGTCACAGAGGCGGGCTGGTCACAGTGGCGGGCTGGTCACAGAGGCGGGCTGGTTACAGAGGCAGGCTGGTTAGAAGTATAGTTAAGGGTGGAGCAGGTTATTGTTAGGAGCAGGTTTGAAGGGAAGTCTGAAGCAGGTTCACAGGAGCCAGGATATGAAGTGGTACAGGTAAATCACCAACTGCAATGTAAAGGCCACTGGTATGCTCAGGTGTGGCCTTTTGTAATATTTGTAATTAGCCCTATGCAAGTGAGGACTGAGGTAACTAGGGAGGCCACTAGTGGTGGAGAGCTGTAACTTCTTAAAGGAACATAAATAAATGAAGATAAAACAATTGTCAGGATACGATCCTGACAAATATACTTACAATAGCGTGAGCAGACTAACCGCTCTATGTATCAAGCCTGGGTGGTATAATCCCCACCAAGAATTTCTTTGGTTGGTTGTCCGCAGTAGGTGATGGGTCCAGATGTCAGGTAAAAGTATAAAAATAAATAATAATAAGTTCTAAAAATATATGGCTAAAAGGCAGGTAGGGAGGTAGCCAAAATACTTTATTTTAACAACAGCATAAAAACCACAATGCGTTCTCACGTGGTCTACCACTTGAGAAAGCCCTAAGGGGAGAAACGCATTGTGGTTTTTATGCTGTTGTTAAAATAAAGTATTTTGGCTACCTCCCTAGCTGCCTTTTAGCCATATATTTATATAAGAAATCCTTGGTGGGGATTATACCACCCAGGCTTGATACAAAGAGCGGTCTATTGTAAGTATATTTTTATTTACCTTGTTGATACTTACCTATCTATATAGAGAATACTATTGGCTGCTTTTTTTGTCATTCCATATGATTTACCTCATCGTTATCCAGTTGTGATTTACCATCATTCTACTGCGTACCAAAACCAGAAGGATATCCTGCAAGTGGGGATTGTATACCACTGAAAGTGTCGTTTGTCCTACCACGTACTACCCTGTTGTTTGTGTTGGAGACCCCATGTAGGGGTCTGTGTCTGTAAAAACTATGTGTACAAAATAAACAAAGTCAGTCAGTGTTGTAACCTCCAGGACTGTGTTTCATCCAGTTACTGGGGGGAAATGAATGCCTGCTTGTTGTAAGGGTTCCTGAATGGCAGAAGGAAGGGAAATAGCAGAGGTAACCGGTCAGGTTACCCGTGGTACACTACAGTGTAGATTTAGTTTCAGACAGGACAATAAATCAAATTAAGATAGTGAGATCCTTACTAGCAAAGTGGGAATAGGGAGCCTGGAATGTGCAGGGAATCTGGAATAGAGCATGGAGTTTGGCATGGAGCAGGGAGTCTGGAATAAAGCATGGAGCCAGGTGCATGGAATAGTCCATGGAGCATGGCATATAGCAAGGAACTTGGAATGGAGCAGGGAGAGTGGAATGGAGCAGGGAGCCTGGAATAGCAGGGAGCTTGGGCTAGAGCAGAGAGTTTAGGATGGAGCAGGGAGTTTGGAATGGAGCATAGAGCCTGGAATTGAGCAGGGAGTTTGGGATGGAGCTTGTGATAGAGCAGGAAGCGTGGGATGAGGTAGGGAGCATGGAATATAACAGGGAGCCTGAGATGGAGCAGGGAGCTTGGGATAGAGCAGAGAGTTTAGGATGGAGCAGGGAGTTTGGGATGGAGCAGGGAACTTGGGATGGAGCTTGTGATAGAGCAGGAAGCGTGGGATGAGGTAGGGAGCATGGAATATAACAGGGAGCCTGAGATGGAGCAGGGAGCTTGGGATGGAGCTTGTGATGGAGCCTGTACCATCCTTTGCTCAGACACGTCAAAGTCTGGCTGTTCTCACCTTTACTCCACCATCAGTGGACTTTAGGCAGTAATTGTATATGAAGGTATTTGTTTCTTGCTCTAAAGAGAAAGTGATCTGGTGAGTTCGGCCCCTGGTATTTAAACACACCATTTCCTTGTTAGTTTCTGTAAACAGGCAGTCAGGTTTTGGATTTCCCCAAGGCTGGTCACGGGAACATTTTCTAAAATCGTCTAAAAAGAGCTTCAAAGGTTAATAGTGATCGATCACCCGTGGAACTTTCAACTAAAGTGATTTGGGGACCACTGACCATGGCGTTGGCACAGAGCAGTAATGTCTCTACTGATATAGAGAGCTGCATGGTTTGCATGGAGGACTACACTGCGGAGGGGCCCCAGAAGCCGCGGATATTGGCTGCCTGCTTACACACCTTTTGTGAAGTCTGTCTGGAGAAGCTCGGAGAGGGAAGCAATTATATGATCTTGTGCCCCGCATGTCACGAACTAAATATTCTATTAAACAGGGATGGGATCCAGTCTCTGCCCATTAACACCAGGGCGCCCTGCTTCTTAAACATAGAAGCAGCCGTAGGGGAACACAACATTTTGGCATTCATTGATCCAGATGTTCCATCCTGCCCAGTCTGCGGGAGCATCACGCTATTTGACCCCTTCGGTCAGACATCATTCAGTGCCACACTTGTAAGTGGGTGAGTGGAGATATGCTGCAAATCCCAGAATGGAATGGGTTAACCAATCAGACCTCAGTACAGAAAAACAGTAACAGAACATTACATCAGATGATAACACAGGGAACCCAAACACAGAATACAGCGCCCCCATCTGGCTGTAGGAAGAGTGTGTCCCGCAGAATGATCAACTACCTGAGGTAAGTTAGACATTCAGCAGCTGCCGCACCTGTTGAGTACAAAAATATTGGAGGCCAGGCCACACGAGGGGCCCTCAGGAAATGATCAGCCTCCTGTAGGGCACAGCTATATTCTGCAGGAGAATTAGGGTGCTGACTGCATTGGGGTTCAGGGGAAGACTTTGTACAGGTAAAGCAGGCAGTGGGGTACAGGCAAAGGATAGAGTGGTGTGCAGGCAAAGGGTGTAGTGGGGTAGAGGCGAAGGATTGAGTGGGGTACGGTTGAAGGATAGAGTGGGGTTCAGGCAAATGATGTAGTCGGGTACAGGCAAAGGATGGAATGGGGTACTGGCAAAGGATGGAATGGGGTAGAGGCAAAGGATGTAGTGGGGTACAGGCGAAAGATGTAATAGGGTTGTGGCGATGGGTGTAGTGGGGTACAGGCGAAGGATGGAATGGGGTACAGGTGAAAGGATGGAATGGGGTACAGGCAAAGAATGTAGTGAGGTACAGGCGAAGGATGGAATGGGGTACAGGTGAAAGGATGGAATGGGGTACAGGTGAAAGGATGGAATGGGGTACAGGCAAAGAATGTAGTGGGATACAGGCGAAGTATGTAGTGGGGTACAGGCGAAAGGATGGAATGGGGTACAGGCAAAAGGATGAAACAAGGCACAGGCAAAGGATATAGTGGGGTACAGGTGAAAGGATGGAATAGGGTACAGGCAAAGGATGGAATGGGGAACAGGCAAAGGATGTAGAGGGGTACAGGCGAAGGATGGAATGGGGTACAGGCAAAGGATGTAGTGGGGTACAGGCGAAGAATGTAGTGGGGTACAGGCAAAGGATGTAGTGGTGTACAGGCAAGGGATGGAATGGGGTAGAGGCAAAGGTTGTAGTGGGGTACAGGTGAAGGATGGAAGTGGGTACAGTGGAGTGGTGTCAGGGTGAGATGGAAATGTCAATGAAAAGGCGATTTGCATATAAATGGTTCCATAGGGTAATTCACAGAATTGCTCATCAAGTCCAATACATACTCCATCAATGTAATCTCCCACCAACCCAATCTCCCCGTCAATCCAATCTCCTACCACTCCAATGTCCCCGTCAATCCAATCTCCTTATCAACCCAATCTCCCACCAATCAAATCTCCCCATCAATCTAATCTGCCACCAATCCAATCTCCCCTACAATCCAATCTCCTACAAATCCAATCTCCCCGTCAAGCCAATCTCCTACCAATCTAATCTCCCCGTCAATCCAATCTCCTACCAATCCAATCTCCCCGTCAATCCAATCTCCTACAAATCCAATCTCCCCGTCAATCCAATCTCCTACCAATCCAATCTCCCCGTCAATCCAATCTCCTACCAATCTAATCTCCCCGTCAATCCAATCTCCTACCAATCTAATCTCCCCGTCAATCCAATCTCCTACCAATCAATCTCCCCGTCAATCCAATCTCCTACCAATCCAATCTCCCCGTCAATCCAATCTCCTACCAATCCAATCTCCCCGTCAATCCAATCTCCTACCAATCCAATCTCCCTGTCAATCCAATCTCCTACCAATCTAATCTCCCCGTCAACCAATCTCCTACCAATCCAATCTCCCCGTCAATCCAATCTCCTACCAATCTAATCTCCCCGTCAATCCAATCTCCCAATCTCAATCTACCAATCCAATCTCCCGTCAATCCAATCTCCTACAATCTAATCTCGTCAATCCAATCTTTACCAATCCAATCTCCCCGTCAATCCAATCTCCTACCAATCCAATCTCCCGTCAATCCAATCTCCTACCAATCCAATCTCCCCGTCAATCCAATCTCCTACCAATCTAATCTCCCCGTCAATCCAATCTTTTACCAATCCAATCTCCCCGTCAATCCAATCTCCTACCAATCCAATCTCCACGTCAATCCAATCTCCTACCAATCCAATCTCCCCGTCAATCCAATCTCCCCGTCAATCCAATATCCTACCAATCCAATCTCCCTGTCAAACCAATCTCCTACCAATCTAATCTCCCCGTCAATCCAATCTCCTACCAATCTAATCTCCCCGTCAATCCAATCTCCTACCAATCCAATCTCCCCGTCAAACCAATCTCCTACCAATCCAATCTCCCTGTCAATCCAATCTCCTACCAATCTAATCTCCCCGTCAATCCAATCTCCTACCAATCCAATCTCCCCGTCAATCCAATCTCCTACCAATCCAATTTCCTACCAATCCAACCTCTCCGTCAATCCAATCTCCTACCAATCCAATCTCCCCGTCAATCCAATCTCCTACCAATCCAATCTCCCCGTCAATCCAATCTCCTACCAATCCAATCTCCTACCAATCCAATCTCCCCATCAATACAATCTGCCACCAATCTCCCCGTCAATCTAATCTGCCACCAATCCAATCTCATCTCCCATCAATCCAATCTCCCCGCCTGTGACGGACCGCCGTCACTAAGTACCATGCCCACTGCATATTTGTGTGTTTTCCCTTGTATCGTGTGGTCCCTCAGTGTTTCCCAAGGTATTCCTATGCCTTTCATGTGTTGTGCCTGTATATGCAGCAGCTCTGTAAAGTATAGAAGTGAAATGTATTGCTGTCTGTGTCTCTCCCCTTTCCCCCCTCCTTTTTCCCGTCACAGCAGGGACACAGAGACACTGCCAGCCCAGTTTAACCTAGATGCATTGTCCTTCCTCCCTTCCCCTTCAGCTTCTTGGGATTGAAACCCCTGTGGTTTTTGTGTTGGAGACCCCATGTAGGGGTCTGTCTCTGTAAAAACCATGTGCACAAAAAACAAAGTCAGTCAGTGTTGTAACCACCAGGACTGTTTTTCATCCAGTTACTGGGGGGAAAATGGATGCCTGCTTGTTGTAAGGGTTCCTGAACGGCTGAAGGAAGGGAAATAACGGAGGTAACTGGCTGAGTTACCTGTGGATCCGCTACACTGTCAAGCTAATCTCCGCTCTTCATGCAGGCGCTAAACCTTCCTCATAGAGATGCATTGGCACAGGAGCTTGTGTCTGATCTTCCCTTAATACCTGACACATTTCACCACCTTTCAACAAGCTTTCACCTTCAGAGTTATTTACTAAAGAACTGAAAGTTGGTTCAGATTGAAGGGCAGAGCGGCCGATCTGGAAACATAGCTGGCTTAGAGAATGTTCTCAATTCAGCTATTTTTACCTTAATTTGAAATCCGCTTTGAATTCTCACTTAAGTGAAAAAAACGATAGTTTCCATACGGTCACGTGCAAAGCAGACAAGGGATGCACTACGGCAGTTACAGGATCAAATGGGTGAATCTACCCAGAATGGTGACCTAGTCCTCCTACGATTGGGGACAGAGGGGTATTCACTGCAGTGGGAATCGCTGGAATTCATTTATAGTGAAATTCACATTCTCGGACCAAATAACCAAATTGGGAAAATTCCCCACGTCAGCTCTGTTTTTAATTCGTCCGCTTCTGCCCAGAATCTGAAATTCACGTTAAATCCACTTTGAATTATCAGCAGTTCATACTTTATTGAATAACCTTGGCAGACGGTAATGATTACTGTAGGGACAGAATATCCTCTCAGGGGTAGATACTTCGCTCTGAGGCAGCTGAAGGTGATCCAATGTTAGAAACAGATTATTTTATATTTTCTAAACGTGTAATTACTTTACGTAACACACCAGGAATGGAGGTATTTTGTTTAGATATTAAAATGAGCTATTTATTTGTTTATCACTGCCTCTTCTTTGATTAGACCCGGAGGTAATTGTTTAACTTCAGCTTATAACACTAAAGTCATTTCTGTGATTTGTGTTTTAGGAAACGTTTGTCATTGCGCTGACACGACTTTTCAGAAGACGATATGAAACAGAGAAGAGAAACACCTGTTAATTAATATATTGGAAGGAAGATCAATGTTACCACCAGCTTTATATCGGTTATTGATATTGGGTTTTACATAGTATTTTTAGCATAGTATCTTTCAAAAACAAATAAAATCATGAAAAAAAAGTGTTAAAGACAGCTCAGTCTAAATATCTGGATTGAATCAGGATCTAAGCAGGAAAAATCTGTCCCTGTCTCCTCGCCTTCTGCAAACACCGGATTCAAACCTACAGTCAGTCTTCGAATCTCCCCCACAGTCCCTCCAGCTACAATCGCACCCCGCTGCTCCCCATTAATATAACCACCCCCCTGCTGCTACCTATTAATATAACCATCCCCCCACTGCTCCCCATTAATATAACCACCCCCCTGCTGCTTCCCATTAATATAACCATCCCCCCACTGCTCCCCATTAATATAACCATCCCCCTGCTCCCCATTAATATAACCACCCCTGCTGCTCCCCATTAATATAACCATCTCCTGCTCCCCATTAATATAACCATCCCCACTATACATTAATAACCATCCCCTGCTCCCAACTAATATAACCATCCCCTGCTGCTCCCCATTAATATAACCACCTGCTTATCCCCATTAATATAACCATCACCACTGCTTCCCATTAATATGACCATCCCCCCTGCTCCCCCACACTAATATAGTATCCCCCACTGCTCCCCATTAATATAACCATCCCCTGCTGCTCCCCATTAGTATAACCATCCCCACTGCTCCCATTAGCGCAACCATCTCCACTGCTCCCCATTGCTATAACCATCCCCATTTAGCCATTAATATAACCATCCCCCCTGCTCCCCATTAATATAAGCCATCCCCCTGCTCCCCATTAATATAACCATCCCCACTGCTCCCAACTAATATATACATCCCTGCTCCCCATTAATAACCCCCCACTGCTCCCCATTAATATAACCATCCCCCTGCTCCCCATTAATATAACCATCCCCACTGCTCATTAATATAACCATCCCCCTGCTCCCATTAATATAACCATCCCTCCACTGCTCCCTATTAATATAACCATCCCCCCTGCTCCCAACTAAAATAATCACCCCCCACTAATATAACCATCCCCCACTGCTCCCCATTAATATAACTGTGACCAGACCAATCTCGCCACATTGCATTGGAGAAGCCTGGTTGCTCACCTGTTGCCTTTGGATTATGGCCCCATGTTAAAAGCCTTCTTTTCCCCTGCAGAAAAGGCTTATTCGTGCCTTTCTGCCCGGCGGTTGGTAGATTCAATCTACCGAACTAATGCACAAATGACTGGACCACCTGGCAGCTGGAGTGTGTCGGCAATTAACCTCCCAGAAGCGTCGGTTAACCGCAGCTTAATTGACGAATGCTGGGTGGCCGCCATTCGTATACCGAACACGAGGTCGCGGCCATTTTAAACACGCAAACGCACAGTGGTGTTCGACGCCCAACTCATGGAACTGAAAACGGACACTTATTTGTGCGAACACCGCTGAGCCATCAGCCTCCTTGCTTCTGCATTCGGTCATTTAACCGGATGCCTGTTCATTCGGTAGTTTAAACCGTATGAACAGCATTACCCCAGATAGCCATCCCGTGGAGTCTATTCGTATGGAGAAGAGACTTTGTGAACACTTTAACTCCTCAGCGATTGGACTGTGTGCATAGGATCTGAGCGCTATTTGATACTTTTGTGCGCTCAGATCTAAGCTATCTGGGGATAGGTAGAATGTATATGTTTTGTGCAACAGTTGTAACTTTATACATTTTTATGTCTTTTACTGTCTTTTACTGCTATGTGGTTAATGGAGTTTTGCCTCTGTCCTGGGAGATAATTGGATTACTTCCCAATTATCTCCAGGACAGAGGGAGGGAAGTTAGGATGCATTGTGGGGATGTTTTAACTCTGTGTGTCTGTCATTGGTTCATGTCTGTCCTTTGTCACAGTCTCCCATTTGGTCCCCTAGGGGAGTGTCCACCAGGTGGGAGACCTGCATAAATACTGGGCAGGTAGCCCTCATTAAACCAGACCACTGCTTGACCCTCAACACGGAGCTCTGTCTCGTTCTTGGGGGGATTTACTGTATGTTATTAGAGACTGATTGCTGATTGCTCCCCATTAATATAACCATCCCCCACTGCACCCCATTAATATAACCATCCCCCACTGCTCCCCATTAATATACCCATTCCACCTGCTCCCCATTAATATAACCATCCCCCCACTGCTCCCCATTAATATAACCATCCCCCTGCTCCCCATTAATATAACCATCCCCCATTGCTCCCCAATCTGGTTTATGATAGTTTGTATAAATGTTTTCCTGCTGTCTGTCTGACCAATACGTTTGGTTGATTGATGTGTAAAGCACTCTGGGTAAGGGCTATACATAATAAAGCTGTAGGTACAAAGCCCTGCGGGGACGGGGATAGATGAATTCACCCTTTGAGTAATGGAGTGCAGAATACTGTGCGCAGCTCTGACTTTCCTACCATTTCCACACACCCTATAGGCAAGACATGGATGTGGTGAACGTTGGATGAGCATGATGAGAAATATAGTTCAAAACTTCTGGGGTGCCAAGTTCAAGCATCTCTGCCATAGGTTCTATGAGGCGCCTCCGGCAGTGAAGGCGTTAAGTCCGGCTTAGAACATGGGTGTGGGACAGGTGGAGGTGACCTTGCAATATAAACTCCAGATAACGTATCATGGTGGAGATATCTGGGAACCTTCCGTCCTGTAACAAGGCACCGAATCCTTAGGGCAGATTATTATTATTATTATTATACAGCTCCTGCAGGCTCAGCGGCGCTGTACGGTTTAAAATGACTACAAACAAGTTAACATTAAGGCCTCTAAATAGAAATGACAAATTATAGGTTACAATAGAAAACTTAGTGAAATATTTGCAATTTGATTATTTTGGCCTGAAATTCACAGTTCTCTTTCCAATATTCCACATTCCCAAATTCAGTAAATAGTCACATAAATACGACATAACCTATCTACGGAGAGGAATTGTTTGTAGGAGGGCAAGATTCAATATACAGGCTGACATTTTATTAATTTCCCTTTAATTAAGCATCATTACTGCAAGAAAAAAAAGTATGTTTTCAGATCGGTCTGGTTATTAATAAAACTCAACTACTGGTCTCTTGGTATGAAAGAGATTTAATAGTTCTTCTGTCATGGAGATTGGTAAGGGGTTGATTCACTGAACAGCGAATTACCGAGCATTACTTAATTTATAGTAAAATACATTTTAAATAAAAGTTCTATGCCAGCAGCACCTGCCATTAACTCACTATTTAGCAAATAAAGCCCTTAAAATGTTTTTCAGTAAAATGACCCTCAAGACACTGGTGAGGCTGTACCCCGCGTTTCTATGAAATGTGATTATCTGTCGGAATTCCAAAAGGGAGTAACTATTATCAATATAAAATCAAAAAATCTACTTTCCTATCTACTTAAGAAATATAATTAATAAAGCTAAGATTATAATAGGTAGGAAGATTATAAAAAAACTGGCAAATTCTGCAATTAATAGCACAAACAATAGTGTCCGGTATGCACATGGAGAGCGTTGTTTTAATCTGAATGTAAATTCGATAAATCCTTGAGAATATCTAAAACAGGGAGGGAAAATAAACCGTGGATTGTTGCGGAAGCGAGTCTGGAATCGGTATTCCAAAGCGCTGCACAGTCCGGGCGTCCGAGTCGGTACATCAAGTTCAACACGAACGGACTCATTGCATCGAGCAATATTTTCCATCATTTGTTCCTGCATCCTACGAACCTCAAACTTCAGCATTGGAGTCTGCTGCCGGCAAATGGGACACGAAATCCGTCCAACATTCCCATGGCCGGTCAGGGTCATTATGCTGGAGACGCAACTGTCACAGATTAAATGGTTGCAGTGAAGCTCTGCTCGCTGGTGTTCATGGGCGTCATAAAACTCTGTGCAGATCGGGCACTCCTGCCTTGACTCACTCCGTGCCAGCAATGGTATCAAGGAGCCATCCTCAGCATTGCCAACGTTCCCCGCCAACACCACAGCTTTCAGTGGCTCCGGTGAAGATATCGGTGAAGATCCACCTTTCTGATCTGTGGCCTTGGACAACAGGGAAAGATCAGGGTGGACACCGGAGGCAGCTAGTGCGGCATCTTTCTGTCCATACATTACAGTTTCTCCTCCAGTTATGTCCACGACATATGGGTCATATGAAGGATCCTTGTTCCGTTCCGTTATTAGACCACTAGGAAGTTGTATCTTGCCATCCCCCACTGGAACCCGTAGAGGATCAAAAGCCAGTTGACCAGCAAGTGAAAGGTCATCACTCTCTTTATCTATAGGCTCATCCACACAGACCGGACATGATGCCCCTGAGAAAGCAGGACCTTGCGTCAGGCCGCATCTGTCTTCCTGGAAGCCAGAGTCTCTGTGTGGGTCCAGAGGATGATCCATAATGCTAAAATGAAAGAGAACGTTTTAGAAAATCCATTATAGAAATAAATCTCAATTTCAGAAATGAGACTAAAATAGCCAGTCATATCAGACCTCCAACATTTCACATGGACAAAGGGGAACACTCTAAATTTAGGGGTGTGGCAAGGGGCGGGGCTATTCTAGCTTACTAATAACAATTTATAGAACTAAAATGTAACAGAATGAGAACAGTGTATCGTATTTACACAGACTGATTTCTAAACACATTTATTGTAGTTTAAATACACATTACCGGGAGTATTATTGCTGTGGAGCTCTGTTATACACCCAGACACATTACTGGGAGTATTATTGCCGTGGAGCTCTGTTATACACTCAGACACATTACTGGGAGTATTATTGCTGTGGAGCCCTGTGATACACAGACACATTACTGGGAGTATTATTACTGTGGAGCTCTGTTATACATCAGACACATTACCGGGAGTATTATTGCTGTGGAGCTCTGTTATACACCCAGACACATTACTGGGAGTATTATTGCCGTGGAGCTCTGTTATACACTCAGACACATTACTGGGAGTATTATTGCTGTGGAGCTCTGTTATACACTCAGACACATTACTGGGAGTATTATTGCTGTGGAGCTCTGTTATACACTCAGACACATTACTGGGAGTATTATTGCTGTGGAGCTCTGTTATACACTCAGACACATTACTGGGAGTATTATTGCTGTGGAGCTCTGTTATACACTCAGACACATTACTGGGAGTATTATTGCTGTGGAGCTCTGTTATACACTCAGACACATTACTGGGAGTATTATTGCTGTGGAGCTCTGTTATACACTCAGACACAATACTGGGAGTATTATTGCTGTGGAGCTCTGTTATACACTCAGACACATTACTGGGAGTATTATTGCCGTGGAGCTCTGTTATACGTTGAGTCACATTACTGGGAGTATTATGGCTGTTGAGCTCTGTTATACACTCAGACACATTACTGTGAGTATTATTGCTGTGGAGCTCTGTTATACACTCAGACACATTACTGGGAGTATTATTGTTGTGGAGCTCTGTTATACACTCAGACACATTACTGGGAGTATTATTGCTGTGGAGCTCTGTTATACACTCAGACACATTACTGGGAGTATTATTGCTGTGGAGCTCTGTTATACGCTCAGACACATTACTGGGAGTATTATAGCTGTGGAGCTCTGTTATACGCTCAGACACATTACTGAGAGTATTATAGCTGTGGAGCTCTGTTATACGCTCAGTCACATTATTGGGAGTATTATAGCTGTGGAGCTCTGTTATACACTCAGACACATTACTGGGAGTATTATTGCTGTGGAGCTCTGTTATACACCTAGACACATTACTGGGAGTATTATTGCTGTGGAGCTCTGTTATACACTCAGACACATTACTGGGAGTATTATTGCTGTGGAGCTCTGTTATACACTCAGACACATTACTGGGAGTATTATTGCTGTGGAGCTCTGTTATACACTCAGACACATTACTGGGAGTATTATTGCTGTGGAGCTCTGTTATACATTCAGTCACATTACTGGGAGTATTATGCTGTGGAGCTCTGTTATACACTCAGACACATTACTGGGAGTATTATTGCTGTGGAGCTCTGTTATACACTCAGACACTTACTGGGAGTATTATTGCTGTGGAGCTCTGTTATACACTCAGACACATTACTGGGAGTATTATTGCTGTGGAGCTCTGTTATACACTCAGACACATTACTGGGAGTATTATTGCTGTGGAGCTCTGTTATACACTCAGACACATTACTGGGAGTATTATTGCTGTGGAGCTCTGTTATACACTCAGACACATTACTGGGAGTATTATTACTGTGGAGCTCTGTTATACACTCAGTCACGTTACTGGGAGTATTATTGCTGTGGAGCTCTGTTATACACTCAGACACATTACTGGGAGTATTATTGCTGTGGAGCTCTGTTATACAATCAGACACATTACTGGGAGTATTATTGCTGTGGAGCTCTGTTATACACTCAGACACATTACTGGGAGTATTATTGCTGTGGAGCTCTGTTATACACTCAGACACATTACTGGGAGTATTATTGCTGTGGAGCTCTGTTATACACACTGAATAATTATTGAATTATAACTATCCAGAAAGCATGTTTTTCAAACTCTATATTACTGAACTCATTTCCTGCTGTACTCCATGTCAATCAGAATAATTGGATCTTCAGATTCTTGATAATAAAATAATTATAATAAACAGTTAATTAGACAAACAGGATCTAAAATCAAGTCAAATGTCTTTCTGACCGTCAAAATGTTTTATGTGTATGAGTGTATCACAGAGCTCCACAGCGATAAAACTCACAGTAATGTGCAGTGTGTATGAGTGTATCACAGAGCTCCACAGCAATAAAACTCACAGTAATGTGCAGGGTGTATGATGGTATCACAGAGCTCCACAGTAATAAAACTCCCAGTCACTTTCTCTTTGACCACTAACAATCATGGTAAATTCTGTGTTTTAAGGATCTTGTGCTGAATATATTCCAATATCTGGTTCCTTATTCTGAGAAGCTGCAAATCAGTTCTTCCCCAAAAACCAAATATAACCGAAACTTAAGCAAATATATTTGATTTAAAAAAAAAAAAAGTCTCAAACTCAGCTATTTTCACAGTTTGACTGTTACATAGTTACATAGTTACATAGCTGGAAAGAGACTTGCGTCCATCAAGTTCAGCCTTCCTCACATTTGTTTTTTGCTGTTGATCCAAAATAAGGCAAAAAAACCCAGTTTGAAGCACAATTTTGCAACAAGCTAGGAAAAAAAATTCCTTCTTGACCCCAGAATGGCAGTCAGATTTATCCTTGGATCAAGCAGTTATTACATTGAAAGATTATATCCTTGAATATTCTGTTTTTGCTAGTATGCATCTAGTAGCCGTTTGAACATCTGTATGGACTCTGATAAAACCACTTCCTCAGGCAGAGAATTCCACATCCTGATTGTTCTTACAGTAAAAAAACCTTTCCTTTGCCTTAGACGAAATCTTCTTTCTTCCAGTCTAAACGCATGACCTCGTGTCCTATGTAAAGTCCGGTTTGTGAATAGATTTCCACAGTGTTCAGTTTTCATTCATGACAATTCAGTGTTTAGTGAATAAACCCTTTGTGGGTGTGTATGCCAAACAATGTGCCAACCGATTTAATGCTCCCACTGGAAGGCTAGTCCAGGTATCTACTACCCTTTCTATATCACTGTTACTGCTCCCACTGGAAGGCTATTTCAGGAATCTACTACCCTTTCTATATCACTGTTACTGCTCCCACTGGAAGGCTATTCCAGGTATCTGCTACCCTTTCTATATCACTGTTACTGCTCCCACTGGAAGGCTCTTCCAGGTATCTACTACCCTTTCTATATCACTGTTACTGCTCCCACTGGAAGGCTATTCCAGGTATCTACTACCCTTTCTATATCACTGTTACTGCTCCCACTGGAAGGCTATTCCAGGTATCTGCTACCCTTTCTATATCACTGTTACTGCTCCCACTGGAAGGCTATTCCAGGTATCTGCTACCCTTTCTCTATCACTGTTACTGCTCCCACTGGAAGGCTATTCCAGGTATCTACTACCCTTTCTGTATCACTGTTACTGATCCCACTGGAAGGCTATTCCAGGTATCTACTACCCTTTCTGTATCACTGTTACTGCTCCCACTGGAAGGCTATTCCAGGTATCTACTACCCTTTCTATATCACTGTTACTGCTCCCACTGGAAGGCTATTCCAGGTATCTACTACCCTTTCTATATCACTGTTACTGCTCCCACTGGAAGGCTATTCCAGGTATCTACTAACCTTTCTATATCACTGTTACTGCTCCCACTGGAAGGCTATTCCAGGTATCTACTAACCTTTCTATATCACTGTTACTGCTCCCACTGGAAGGCTATTCCTAGGTATCTACTACCCTTTCTATATCACTGTTACTGCTCCCACTGGAAGGCTATTCCTGGTATCTACTACCCTTTCTATATCACTGTTACTGCTCCCACTGGAAGGCTATTCCAGGTATCTACTACCCTTTCTATATCACTGTTACTGCTCCCACTGGAAGGCTATTCCAGGTATCTACCACCCTTTCTATATCACTGCTCCCACTGGAAGGCTATTCCAGGTATCCACTACCCTTTCTATATCACTGTTACTGCTCCCACTGGAAGGCTATTCCAGGTATCTACTACCCTTTCTATATCACTGTTACTGCTCCCACTGGAAGGCTATTCCAGGTATCTACTACCTTTCTATATCACGGTTACTGCTCCCACTGGAAGGCTATTCCAGGCATCTACTACCCTTTCTATATCACTGTTACTGCTCCCACTGGAAGACTATCTACTACCCTATATTACTATTAACCTTACTGCTTCCACTGGAAGGCTATTCCAGGTATCTACTACCCTTTCTATATCACTGTTACTGCTCCCACTGGAAGGCTATTCCAGGTATCTACTACCCTTTCTATATCACTGTTACCGCTCCCAATGGAAGGCTATTCCAGGTATCTACTACCCTTTCTGTATCACTGTTGCTCCCTCTGGAAGGCTATTCCAGGTATCTACTACCCTTTCTATATCACTGATACTGCTCTCTCTGGAAGGCTATTCCAGGTATCTACTACCCTTTCTATATCACTGTTACTGCTCCCACTGGAAGGCTATTCCAGGTATCTACTACCCTTTCTATATCACTGTTACCGCTCCCACTGGAAGGCTATTCCAGGTATCTACTACCCTTTCTATATCACTGTTACTTCTCCCACTGGAAGGCTATTCCAGGTATCTACTACCCTTTCTATATCACTGTTACTGCTCCCACTGGAAGGCTATTCCTGGTATCTACTACCCTTTCTATATCACTGTTACTGCTCCCACTGGAAGGCAATTCCTGGTATCTACTACCCTTTCTATATCACTGTTACTGCATCCACTGGAAGGCTATTTCAGGAATCTACTACCCTTTCTATATCACTGTTACTGCTCCCACTGGAAGGCTATTTCAGGAATCTACTACCCTTTCTATATCACTGTTACTGCTCCCACTGGAAGGCTATTCCAGGTATCTGCTACCCTTTCTATATCACTGTTACTGCTCCCACTGGAAGGCTCTTCCAGGTATCTACTACCCTTTCTATATCACTGTTACTGCTCCCACTGGAAGGCTATTCCAGGTATCTACTACCCTTTCTATATCACTGTTACTGCTCCCACTGGAAGGCTATTCCAGGTATCTGCTACCCTTTCTATATCACTGTTACTGCTCCCACTGGAAGGCTATTCCAGGTATCTGCTACCCTTTCTCTATCACTGTTACTGCTCCCACTGGAAGGCTATTCCAGGTATCTACTACCCTTTCTGTATCACTGTTACTGATCCCACAGGAAGGCTATTCCAGGTATCTACTACCCTTTCTGTATCACTGTTACCGCTCCCACTGGAAGGCTATTTCAGGAATCTACTACCCTTTCTATATCACTGTTACCGCTCCCACTGGAAGGCTATTCCAGGTATCTACTACCCTTTCTATATCACTGTTACTGCTCCCACTGGAAGGCTATTCCAGGTATCTACTAACCTTTCTAAATCACGGTTACTTCTCCCACTGGAAGGCTATTCCAGGTATCTACTAACCTTTCTAAATCACGGTTACTTCTCCCACTGGAAGGCTATCTACTACCCTTTCTATATCACTGTTACTGCTTCCACTGGAAGGCAATTCCTGGTATCTACTACCCTTTCTATATCACTGTTACTGCTCCCACTGGAAGGCAATTCCTGGTATCTACTACCCTTTCTATATCACTGTTACTGCATCCACTGGAAGGCTATTTCAGGAATCTACTACCCTTTCTATATCACTGTTACTGCTCCCACTGGAAGGCTATTTCAGGAATCTACTACCCTTTCTATATCACTGTTACTGCTCCCACTGGAAGGCTATTCCAGGTATCTACTAACCTTTCTAAATCACGGTTACTTCTCCCACTGTAAGGCTATCTACTACCCTTTCTATATCACTGTTACTGCTTCCACTGGAAGGCAATTCCTGGTATCTACTACCCTTTCTATATCACTGTTACTGCTCCCACTGGAAGGCTATTCCAGGTATCTACTACCCTTTCTATATCACTGTTACTGCTCCCACTGGAAGGCTATTTCAGGAATCTACTACCCTTTCTATATCACTGTTACTGCTCCCACTGGAAGGCTATTCCAGGTATCTACTAACCTTTCTTAATGCTCTCACTGGAAGGATATTCCAGGTATCTACTGCCCTTTCTATATCACGGTTACTGCTCCCACTGGAAGGCTATACCATGTATCTACTACCCTTTCTATATCACTGTTACTGCTCCCACTGGAAGGCTATTCCAGGTACCTTCTACCCTTTCTATATCACTGTTACTGCTCCCACTGGAAGGCAATTCCAGGTATCTACTACCCTTTCTTAATGCTCTCACTGGAAGGATATTCCAGGTATCTACTACCTACAACCCATTAAGAACTGGTAATAAAGATTGCAGCACACACTTTGGAGATTTGACTATTCTTGACATAAGACGCGGTGGTGGAATATCTGACCTGAATTGGAGCAGATCCAAGTCCGGCTTGTTACATTGTGATGTATTCACTCTCGATACACAGGATAAAAGATTCTCTGCAGGTGAATACACCGTCCATGAGGAGGGTTGAAGCTAGACTTTCAGCCAATCAGAAGAGTTCTGACATTGTTGATTTAATCTCCAAACTATGCAGGTTTATCTCGAGCTCTCCTTCTCTGGACTGAGAAATTAACAGGTTTTGAGCAGCTCACCTGCAGCTGGCAAAGCATCATGGGAGTTGCAGTTCTACAACAGATGAAGGCATTTTGGCTACCCTGGCCTGACTCGTAGGTCCTGATTGAACTCTTTTTGGAACATCAACCCAGCATCCGTTATTAGATCTAAAGCAGGGGGAAAGTGACTCTGGGTTTGGTGGGTGTCTGGTGGCACAGTGCCAACTGGAGGGACGCCTTAGTCCCAATGGAGAGACACTGTAACACAGCTCCGTACAATGTAATGATAGATGAAACTGTGGCAAGTTCTTTGCTGTTTCAGGGTGCCAAGAGCTCCATCATACAAAGTGATGATTTATCGAGATCAATGTGGAAGAACTTGATGAGACCCTAAACTCCCTGAAGATTTCTAGAATTAATTGTAACGTCAGCAGGGGCCAGGCCTATTCACAATAACAGTGTCCAACCAGCACTGTATTCCAGGGGAGGGGCTCCTTCGGCAATCCAGATGGTGTGGATAATGCAGGCAATGCATCATGGGAGATGTAGTTCACAAAATGTGGAGTGCCGAAGGTTGCCTGCCCCTGCTATTCCCTCAATGTTCCTCCATATAGTGTGAATCCTTCCAAGAGGAGTGGAGGCTGTTATAGCAATATGGGAACAATCTTTGTATTAGTGACTTTAATTCTGGAATGAGATTAGGCCAAACACTGTATTAATAAGAAGCACCCAGAAAACAGGCGTGCCACATTTACTGCCTACAGCCTACAAATCAGGTCGGTCTAGCAGGACTAGCTCTCAGTCAGATGGATCCGGTCTGAACTGCCTATCGGGGCTATTGCAATAATCAGTTCCATTTCAGTGACAGTGTCAGACCTTTTAACTGTTACTGTTCCTTTAAACTCACAAGTTCTGCAGATAAAGGCCTATGCTGTTGCTTTTATCAGAGATATTTATAAAAGTCATACTATCGTGCAGGATGCCAGTGATTTTAATATAACTCTGCATTCAAAGACACAAAGCAAAATTAACCTAATTATCTTCAATGGCTACCTGGTGTTAATAGAACATATCGTTACCTTGCACATCAATTTGACAACTGTCACAATATTAAAGTGGTCTGGTCGCCTTTAACTTGTTTGATTTCTGACCCGGCATAAAAAACTACCCCAGTATAATACAGATAATAAGCACTATATGATTTATCAGATATATATCCCAGATAATAAAACACTACGTACGTTATTACATGATTTATCAGAGATATATCCCGGTATAACACAGATAATACACACTACGTACGTTATTACATGATTTATCAGAGATATATCCCGGTATAACACAGATAATACACACTACATACGTTAATACATGATTTATCAGAGATATCCCGGTATAACACAGATAATACACACTACGTACGTTATTACATGATTTATCAGAGATATCCCGGTATAACACAGATAATACACACTACGTACGTTATTACATGATTTATCAGAGATATATCCTGGTATAACACAGATAATACACACTACGTACGTTAATACATGATTTATCAGAGATATATCCCGGTATAACACAGATAATACACACTACGTACGTTAATACATGATTTATCAGAGATATCCCGGTATAACACAGATAATACACACTACGTACGTTATTACATGATTTATCAGAGATATCCCGGTATAACACAGATAATACACACTACGTACGTTATTACATGATTTATCAGAGATATATCCCGGTATAACACAGATAATACACACTACATACGTTAATACATGATTTATCAGAGATATATCCCGGTATAACACAGATAATACACACTACGTACGTTAATACATGATTTATCAGAGATATCCCGGTATAACACAGATAATACACACTACGTACGTTATTACATGATTTATCAGAGATATCCCGGTATAACACAGATAATACACACTACGTACGTTATTACATGATTTATCAGAGATATATCCCGGTATAACACAGATAATAAAACACTACGTACGTTATTACATGATTTATCAGAGATATATCCCAGTATAACACAGATAATATACACTACGTACGTTATTACATGATTTATCAGAGATATCCCGGTATAACACAGATAATACACACTATGTACGATATTACATGATTTATCAGAGATATATCCCGGTATAACACAGATAATACACACTACGTACGTTATTACATGATTTATCAGAGATATATCTCGGTATAACACAGATAATACACACTATGTACGATATTACATGATTTATCAGAGATATATCCCGGTATAACACAGATAATACACACTACGTACGTTATTACATGATTTATCAGAGATATATCCCGGTATAACACAGATAATACACACTACGTACGTTATTACATGATTTATCAGAGATATATCCCGGTATAATACAGATAATATACACTACGTACGTTATTACATGATTTATCAGACTGATAAAGCATCATGGGAGATATAGTCCACAATATCTAAAATGTTGAAAGTTGCCTACCTCTGGTCTAAAACTTGTAATTCCCTTATTAATTTATCCTATTTACTATTGTTTAATTATGCTCTCTATTTACCAATTCTGTGTTTTGAGAGAAGGGAACAGAAATCGTGTTGAATTGCTTTACAGGTTAACTGAAGGTCCCCTTTAGTCTTATTTTATAAAAACGATGATTTAAAAGTCATTAGAGAATTATAGTTCAAAGCAGAAGGCACTGATTCTCACAGAAGCTGACGGGAGATGGTCTCTAATGGAAAAGGGGTAAATATAGAGAGTGGCCCAATTCTAAAACAAAGTAGGAATCAAGTTTGTTTTAATCTACGCCCAAACCAATCAATCCATCCAGGATTTACCTGTGGATTCTTATAGGATTAACAGCCATTTGATTTGTCGCAGCTGAAATGTATGTGTGCACAAGTCTAAAAGGAGTTCCCCAATAGTAAAATAATATGTTTGATCACGATCCTCTCTGTTTAACCTCATCCCCTGTAACCCTAATTCAGGAATGCCGATATTGACAAACTCAGGGACTGTTTTGTAACAGATTGGGGATTGTTGAAGCCATCTGTTTGTATTTTCACTTGAGCAAATGATTTCTGATAGACTTATCAAGTGTTCTTTAATACCTTGTATTATTTATTGCCCAACCCGCCCCACCATGGATGCAACTTATTCCTTAAAAACACCAATGGAAACCGATTTAGTTCCTTTAGCTGTATAAATCCCCATCTCTTTATTGACATCAAACCTGGAAAAGATCCTCCATCTAGCCAATCATCGCTAGAAATTTTGTCCTTTTCTGACTTGGAATATATTTAGTGGAAGAGATGAAACAGAATGTTTTTGATTCTCCCTCGATACGATGGATGCCTTGGCTGTGCCAGGACTGAACTGGATTGTGACACGAATCATCGCATTAAAAATATAAACAGGTTAACACAAGCTAAAGCTAATTGTTTTGTTGGTGTAAATTCCAAAAGGAGGGACGGTTCCCCTTTAATATATAAACCTCTATCTCTCTGTCTGACATTATTTATAAAGATCTTGGTGGAATTGGGCATTTCCTGTGGATAATAATTGTTTAACCTTAATTATATACTGTTCATTTATACCAATCTAAAAGCACAGGTTTTACTCTGTATTGTGGATGTTCTTCAGGAACCAGCTCCCTCGATGAGGCAGCTCCTACTATCTCTGCTGGAAGGCAGAGCCTTTACAATCTGTGACTGACAATCAATGTACCACCAGTCATCAAAGACAACTTGATAGTGTGTTCCATTGCCCCTCCAATAGCGATTCTTCAATCACGCCATCATACCATCCAACAGTCATGCCTTGAATAGACCTCACACAGATGGTGACTACACTGCAACTTTATTTGTACCCAGAATAGAATAGTCACTGCTTGCGCAAGCTATGGCGAGTGTACAATGTTTGATAACTGGTGGAATCGTGGGGTCACGTCAATCTGATGGTTTGTTTAATTCTAACGCAGTTTATTTTATCAATAATGTAACACGAGATATCTGACAATCTGCCAGAAAGGCTTAAATAATAATAAAATATTGTTTTTTTTAATAACGCTTAGTGTCGGCCATCAGAATTTGCTAATTTGGTCCTGTAGTTTGAGGGGGATAACGAGGATTTATGACCAGGTTTCAGATTGAAAATGGCGAGATTTCTCAAGCTGGACCAGGTACTCTTCAGCTTCGACAGGCGACATCCCACCTTCTGAGCAGAATATAGACTTCAAGGCGTCCGTTACCTCTCCAGGCATCGACTTGGCATTTCTAATCACAACAAAGGTGCCAAAGAGAAGACAGAAGCATGTTTACTTTGTAAATATATTACAACGACCTCCATAATAATACAAGTAATACCGAGTATCTAAAATTAGCACAGTGTAATCAGTAATAGATCTCATAGTAACTAATAATAGCAACACATAGATGGTATCAATACTGTGTAACTGGTATTAGATTATTACTATTAGTAGCTAGTATTAGCATGGTGTAACTGGTATTAGATTATTACTATTAGTAGCTAGTATTAGCGCTGTGTAACTGGTATTAGATTATTACTATTAGTAGCTAGTATTAGCGCTGTGTAACTGGTATGAGGTTATTACTATTAGTAGCTAGTATTAGCGCTGTGTAACTGGTATGAGGTTATTACTATTAGTAGCTAGTATTAGTGCTGTGTAACTGGTATGAGATTATTACTATTAGTAGCTAGTATTAGCGCTGTGTAACTGGTATGAGATTATTACTATTAGTAGCTAGTATTAGCGCTGTGTAACTGGTATGAGATTATTACTATTAGTAACTAGTATTAGCGCTGTGTAACTGGTATGAGATTATTACTATTAGTAACTAGTATTAGCGCTGTGTAACTGGTATGAGATTATTACTATTAGTAACTAGTATTAGCGCTGTGTAACTGGTATTAGATTATTACTATTAGTAGCTAGTATTAGCGCTGTGTAACTGGTATGAGATTATTACTATTAGTAGCTAGTATTAGCGCTGTGTAACTGGTATGAGATTATTACTATTAGTAGCTAGTATTAGCGCTGTGTAACTGGTATGAGATTATTACTATTAGTAGCTAGTATTAGCGCTGTGTAACTGGTATGAGATTATTACTATTAGTAGCTAGTATTAGCGCTGTGTAACTGGTATGAGATTATTACTATTAGTAGCTAGTATTAGCGCTGTGTAACTGGTATGAGATTATTACTATTAGTAGCTAGTATTAGCGCCGTGTAACTGGTATGAGATTATTACTATTAGTAGCTAGTATTAGCGCCGTGTAACTGGTATGAGATTATTACTATTAGTAGCTAGTATTAGCGCCGTGTAACTGGTATGAGATTATTACTATTAGTAGCTAGTATTAGCGCCGTGTAACTGGTATGAGATTATTACTATTAGTAGCTAGTATTAGCGCCGTGTAACTGGTATGAGATTATTACTAATAGTAGCTAGTATTAGCGCCGTGTAACTGGTATGAGATTATTACTATTAGTAGCTAGTATTAGCGCCGTGTAACTGGTATGAGATTATTACTATTAGTAGCTAGTATTAGCGCCGTGTAACTGGTATGAGATTATTACTATTAGTAAATAGTATTAGCATGGTGTAACTGGTATTAGATTATTACTATTAGTAACTAGTATTAGCGCCGTGTAACTGGTATTAGATTATTACTATTAGTAACTAGTATTAGCACGGTGTAACTGGTATTAGATTATTACTATTTGTAACTAGTATTAGCACGGTGTAAATGAAACATTAGGATCCTCCAGCATATTACCCAGCAATGTAGAAATAGCCATGTTTCTTGCTGATTAAATCCCACAGAAGAGGTCCATTTGCCTTTACCCGATGTTGCACGTATATTTTATCATCCTGTTGCAGAAAAAAAACAAAAAACTTAAACACAAATAAGAAATATAACAATAGTAAACAGACACTGACTGCAAGCTACGCCCGTCACCGGAGAAAGCTACTCCCCTAATCCCGCCCGTCACAGGAGACAGCTACGCCCCTAATCCCGCCCGTCACAGGAGAAGGCTACGCTGCCAATCCCGCCCGTCACAGGAGAAAGGTATGCCGCCAATCCCGCCCGTCAAAGGAGAAAGCTACGCCGCAAATCCCGCCGTCAAAGGAGAAAGCTACGCCGCAAATCCTGCCCGTCACAGGAGAAAACTATGCCACCAATCCTGCACGTCATAGGAGAAAGCTACGCCGCCAATCCTGCCCGTCACAGGAGAAAATTACGCCGCCAATCCTGCCCGTCACAGGAGAAAACTACGCCACCAATCCTGCCCGTCACAGGAGAAAACTACGCCGCCAATCCCGCCCATCACAGGAGAAAGCTACGCCGCCAATCCTGCCCGTCACAGGAGAAAATTACGCCGTCAATCCCGCCCGTCAAAGGAGAAAGCTACGCTGCCAATCCTGCCTGTCACAGGAGAAAACTACACCGCCAATCCCGCCCTTCACAGGAGAAAGCTACGCCGCCAATCCTGCCCGTCACAGGAGAAAACTACGCTGTCAATCCCGCCCATCAAAGGAGAAAGCTACGCTGCCATTCCTGCCCGTCACAGGAGAAAACTATGCCGTCAATCCAGCCCGTCACAGGAGAAAACTACGCCGTCAATCCCGCCCGTCAAAGGAGAAAGCTACGCCGCCAATCCTGCCCGTCACAGGAGAAAACTACGCCGTCAATCCAGCCCGTCACAGGAGAAAACTATGCCGCCAATCCTGCCCGTCACAGGAGAAAGCTACGCCGCCAAACCCACCTGTCACAGGAGAAAGCTACGCCGCCAAAACCGCCCATCACAGGAGAAAGCTACGTTGACAATCCTACCCGTAAATACAAAAAATAATAATGATGTGTGTGACCCCAGAAGAAACTGGAATAAACACACAGTGGTCAGTATGGTGGTGCCAGATCCACCAAATATGGCTTGGACCCAAATACTAAGAGTATAAAAATAGAATCTAAGAGAGAATGTTCACCCTGCAACTCAAGTAAGGAGAGGGGGAACACGCTCTACTGGCTTTTATTGATGAATAGGGGATAATCCAAAAAGAAAAAACTGCAACCTGTTAAAATGTGCTTGGATCCCAAAAAGCTAGAAGGAGGTAACCTGCTCATGGCTACAAAGTCTCCCACAATATCTACAACAGAACTACTTTATTGATTTATAACATAAAAAGAAGATGTAACAGGAGACAATGCCAGGGCAGGACCCTAAGATACCAGCAAGTATCAGCCCAGCTATTTAGAGCCTAATGTGAATCCACATCAGAGCAAAAAAGAGAGAGAATAGTCAGTGGGGGCTAAAAAAATTCCTCCAAAACACCGACTGAATAGCTCTTGGGTATTTCACCTAAGCGGTACGCTGAGCTAATACCAAAAGACAAGGTGGTCTGGGGGTATAAAGTAATTAAAAAAATTACATTAATACAGCAATAGAGAACTGTAACAAGATCTCTGAATGGAAATTAAATGAGGGCTAGTGGGACAGTAAACGAGCATGAGCGGATCTCCAGCTTCTCTAAATCATAAGTCTAGGCAACGTCCATGCTAATATAGTATCCCTCATGCTCCTAGAAAACACACTATCCCCTTAGTATGTGTTCACTTACAGCCAATAGAATTCATGTAAATATGGGAGGTATACCTGCTACACCTGAAAGAGATAATAGGACACTCCTCCATCATTTGTCCATAATTGCTCCAATACCGATGGACAGTGCTCTTAATCCGCCCCACCTAATGTGTGGGCGGGGCTAAACAGCTCCAGGTGAGGACTTACATATTCCGTCAGCCTGTCTCCCAACCCCCAGAGGCGGAGCTATTTTACTTGTGGCTTCTGATAAGCTCAATACTAGTAAGTAGGCGGTCTTTATCCATCCCATGATACAATTCACCGCCCATATGGGCTGAGCTGTGTTGCCTGTGGGTTCCCTCAATCCCCTTAATGTGGGCGGACAGTTATCGATCCGCGCCATGATCACCTATGATGTCAACGGCTCGATACTTGTGGACAGTGATCTTAGTCCGCCCCACATGGTAAGTGATGGCGGAACTAATCCAGAGTATACATGCGTCAAAATCCCCACCCTAGTGGGAAGGGCTGCCTTGTCTATGGCTTCTCGCAAGCCCGATATAATGGGCAGCGATCTTGTTCTGCCCCACCTAATTTGTGGGCGGAATCAAAGCAGATCCGGACAAAGGGCATGTACGCTCTGAATATCTATGACTCTGCCTTCATGGGCGGAGCTATAACGCCCATAGGTTTTCGCAGGTAGAATCCTATTATAATAAGGCATGACAGATGTATACATATTCGTTCTCATAAAATATTTATTATGACAAGGAAAGACCTTTCCATAAGAGGAATACACTCCCAGTGTACAACATCATCCAATCTACATACTAGTTATACCAAAGCATTGCATGAGCACACATCTGGTGTGTGGTAAAAAATTACTAATCGGTGGGCGGAGTAGAGCTTCAGATACGTATATATATATATATATATTTTTTTTTTTTATGCCATATAATCTTTGGCATGGATGACTTAGTCTCCATCTCCCACTGGAAGATTAATCATATATGGAATTTTACCATTGTTGGTCCCTATATTCTATGGATTGTATGGTAAAATTCCTATTGCCTTGGTACAGATATATATATTGGATGTGATCTACGGCCTGGCTAAAATAAACTCAAAATGTACCCAGTGTTTATCATTTAATTGCTAATTTACGGTACTTTCTCTGTGCGGCCATAGATCGAGTACTCTCAAAATGTGGCTAAATTACGTAGACGTCTGATATGTCAGATGATGAATATTTTATTATATTCTGTATGGTAACAATTTGGGGATAGGTAGAATGTTTCATAATCATACCATAAGATCTCTAAGTGGACCCTGAACTTCTGTGGGTTAATAAAACACAAACTATTTTCGTTGATCTTCTCTCATACAGAGGTAATAAATAAATGCCTTGAAATTAAAATAAACGAAGTCACGTGTGTACAAGTGCTATACAATATTAACAGTGTTGCAAAATTAATAAAGACCCTATATAATAAGAATTAGTATAATTACAGATCACTAATGAATAGGAAAACCCTTCATTCAATCCCTTCAGCGACAGGGTATTCAGGCGGTAGATCCACACACACTCCCTTCTCCTTAATTTTTTATCCAGGTTTCCTCTCCTTTGGTCCAATTTGACCAACTCAATGCCCAGAAATGTAAGTACAGTATGGTCTCCATGATGAAAGGTTTTAACATGTCTGTAGATCGGGGTCTCAATATTTCTATTGGTTTTTATGTTCCAGAATCCATCTTTTAAACGGCCTGAACGTCTTCCCTACATATAGCATACTGCACTGGCATATAATTAAATATACCACTCCTTTCATATTACAGTTGAAAAAGATTTTGGGTAGAAAGTCTCAGTCTGTGAACTATTTGTAAATTCTTTAGAGTCTTTGCATATATAATGCCCGACACCGGCCGCATTTGTACGTCCCTACCAATTTATTAGATAGCCAATAGGGTGCTATTGAGTTAGATTGTTGAAAATGACTATGAACCAGGAAGTCCTTAATATTTTCACCTCTCCTCGCTACCATACAGGCATAAGGTGGAATAACTTCCTTGAGTTGCTCATTCTGTCTGAGCAATGGTCAATAGCGATTCAAGATGGTCTTGACCTGATCCCAACCCGCATCATAGGTTGCAATGCATCTAAGCTGTGTTGAATCCACTTTTCTATGCTCGAAGGGGGAATAATTCTCCCTAGCAAGACTATCCCGTTCTGTTAAGTGGGCTCTGTGATACGCTTTTTTGAGGGTCCTGTTGGGAGAGCCCTTAGACCGAAATATGAAGCATAGCTCTTTTGCTCGTCTTGAAGTCTTCAACATCAGAGCAGTTTCGCCTAAGGCACAAATACTGCCCCGTGGGTATGCCCCTTCTTTGCTGGACTGGATGGTGGCTCTTCCAATTAAGAAGGCTATTGGTGGCCATGTTCTTTCTATACAAATCTGTTTTAATTAGGCCATTATCACCAGGGGTCAAAGTCAAATCCAGAAAGTTAAGGGCAGGTTTCCCCACTTCAGCGGTAAATCTCAAGTTTAAATCATTCTGATTGAGTGATTGTACGAAGAGATAAAACTCATCATGACTACCGGACTAAATAATCATGATGTCTCTCTTCCAGGAAACCTATTGTGGGGCTCGGCAAAGACCATTTTTTCCTCCCACCAACCCAGGTGCAAGTTGGCATTTGAGGGCGCACAGGATGTCCCCATAGCAGTTCCCTGCACCTGGTGGTAGTATGTTCCATTGAACAAAAAGTAGTTGTGGGTAAGTACAAAGAGCTTAATAGTGAACTCACTATGTCTATTGAGATGTGTTTGTTTCGAATCTCCCGTCACAGGAGAAAGCTACGCCGCCAATCCTGCCCGTCACAGGAGAAAACTATGCCCCCAATCCTGCCCGTCACAGGAGAAAGCTATGCCGCCAATCCTGCCCATCACAGGAGAAAACTATGCCCCCAATCCTGCCCGTCACAGGAGAAAGCTACTCCGCCAATCCTGCCCGTCACAGGAGAAAGCTATGCCGCCAATCCCACCCGTCACAGGAGAAAACTACGCCGCCAATCCTGCCCGTCACAGAAGAAAACTACGCCGCCAGTCCTGGCCGTCACATGATAAAATTACGCCGCCAATCCTGCCCGTCACAAGAGAAAATGACGCCGCCAATCTCACCCGTCACAGGAGAAAGCTATGCCGCCAATCTCCCTTGGTGACAGTAGAACATAATGCTGCCAATCTCACCTGGTCTCGAGAGAAAGCAGTGAACAGCGTCAGAATATTTCTTTTCACCAGACCATCCCATTCTTGTTGGAAATAGAAATCTTTTGATTTGTTTCGGCACCCAAAAAACAAACAGTTATCTGAAAGAGAAAGAAAGTCCCAAACTAGTCTGACACTTCACTGGCCACAGAGACAACAATGGCGAATGAGTAAATAATAAAACAATGGCTAATGAGTACAATTGTAGATTATGCTTGCTTTAGTGTACCTGTAATCGTATTTTATTAATGACAGAAGGGGAGTATTTTGCTTAGACTTTCTTTAGTGTTGCTGCGGAGCTTATTAAACAACTAGAAACACATTAACCAATCAGAAAAGGCATATGTATAGAATAAACAAGCATTAAACCACCAACAGCACAACATAAAAAAGCAGCTAAAGAACGAGGTGAAAAGGAAGATATTTCCGATAAACGAGATCCTCAGCCAACATCGTCACCGGGACACGAAGAAGGTCACAATGAAACAAAAAAATACGTAAAAGGAACTAAAACATGAGTTAAGTAAGTCGCCTTGATGGAGGATAATAGGATTGGACTAACATTGCCAGCAGCCAACGGGAATATTGAAGATCCTTCTTATTTCCTTCCGTATTGCAGAGATCTTTGACTGAGGTAACCGTAGAACACATTGAATAGAATTGATCTAAAATCCTAGAACGTGTACCTCCTGTGAGGGGACCAGGGACGAATTCTCCCAGCTCACCACAAAGCACAAGGTCTCGCGAAATCTCACGGCAAATCATGTCTGACAGTGCAGTCGAGATACTATGTTGCAGAACAGCAAGATGTCATCCACACAAAGCAGACATCGAATGCCACTGGTTTCAATAGTTTTATAAAGTACCATGGTGCCAAACTGACTGCGAATGGGAGACAGGTGAACTGGCAAGAACGATTAATGTGGACTATCGTGGGCAACGGGAATGGACAGGAAAGAGTCCAGAAGCGTGAACCATTTATTTTCTTGAAGCAAGTCCTGCAAGTGATGGATGTCTTTCATCTTGAAGTGACTTCTTCCTGACCAGGAAAACATTGCTGAAAAGTCCTCTGTCGAATAGAGCAAACTGAACTGCGACTTTGGAGAACAGGCACTGAATCTGTGCAGCAAAACAGGAAAAGGTTGCGCCAAATGTGTTTAAAATATTAAAACACTAAACTGTTGCTTCCACTTGATAAAGTCCTATGTGGTGAAACATGTTGTGGATTTTAAAGCATTTTAATTAAAGTGATTTTGGCTACTTTTATACTGTGATTGTGCCATTTTTATAGCTTTTTTTTTCATTTTTGTCTGGCATCCTGTTCATCACTCCAGAGAGGATCTCACAAAAGAATCATAGGTGGGGATTATACCACCACGCCTTATTCATTGAACGGTGTGTCTGCTCAATTAAATATGAGCACATTTATTTCTAATTATTACTCCTGGTTTAGTGTACACAGTGAGCACTATTGTTTTATTTTTTTTGTCATTTTTGGGTTCATGGTCCCTGTACCGCTGTGAAAGACGTGCTGCTGACTACACTACTACACGTATCCTACAAGTGGGCATTATACCACTGTACGCCCATCATACTAGAGCTGGTCTTAGCTCTATAAAACGTGAGTAGGACTATATAAGACTTGCACTTTAACCCCTTAAGGACCAAACTTCTGGAATAAAAGGGAATCATGACATGTCACACATGTTGTGTCCTTAAGGGGTTAAAAGTACCACATAATATTGGAACATATTGCACTACTGGCTTTATTTTTTATATCTATACGGTTCCCAAGAAAGTTTGAAAAGGGATTTAGCTGCTACCTTTGCAAGTTTACACACTGACTTTGGACTTTTATATTTGCTACTTGTTCTTTATTTATTTGTTTTAATATTTTAAACACATTTGTTCACAATTGGCGCAACCTTTTCCTGTTTAGCTGCATTATTCTATTTCTGTTGGGTCTTTGAGGGAGCCCCATCTTTTAGGTTGCTGCAGCCTTTTCTTTTCTATTTGGTTGTACAGCGCTGATCCTTCTGCTTTTCAATGAATCTGTGCATCGATTAAATTTGTTCGTCCACTAAAGACCGAATAGGGGGCAGCAGGTGATCCTGTACTGGTCTCTGTTGAAATTCGATAACGTAAACCTTCACTGTCTGTAGGATCCAGCTGTCTGTGGAAATGTCAGCCCAATCTCTCTCGAGTCAAATGGCTGCCGCACAGGGGAATGGTCTGAAGGGAGACAACCTACCACGGTCCTGTGCGAGCGAAGAAAGAACCATCAGACAAAATGAGAACCCCCCCACCCCCCCGGACATGATGCGAGAAGATGATGGCAGAAAGAAGATAAAGCAGGATACAAAGCAATACAGAGGAGAGTAGAAGAAAAAGCCAGACGAATAAAGGGACATTGGGCATAATAAAATGCAATAAATAAAGCCCAAATCAGGAGAAAACAGACAATCTAATACAATAAAGAATAGTGTAAATGCAAGATCGGGGAGAAGAGAGACACTGACCTTTGCTTTTGAGGGAGCAGCAGAGAAAGAGGAGGTGCCTGCTGCATTTGGGATTTATATTGCCTCCTATGCCTTTTCTGATTGGTTAATGTTTTTTTTCTAGTTGTTTAGTGCTGCTGTAGAGTTTATTACAGAAATTCTAAGCAAAATACTCGCCTCCTGTCATGTTTTAAAATTCCGATCTTCTGGCCAATAGCTGCAGAGCAGTGAAAATGCTGATTTAGACTACGACCACGGCAGCTTTATAACCTGCCCACATATCCATGGAATTAATAGCAAACCGGCGAGTTAAAGGCACCTTCCAGTAACAAAGAGAGCTACCAGATCCACCCTGGACACAAATCCCTCCACAATTCTGCTGCATGTTACATGAAAAGTGCTCCTTGTGGTGTGTGGAAGGAAATCCATTCGTTAAGAAAAGCTTAGCGTTTTGTTTTTTGCCTACACGTAGCTGTAAATAAGAATTCTGGAGGGGCATTGCCCATTCCTCTGGCATACCTGCTGCACTGCGGGCAGACCGCTCCTGTATGGCTGAACGGAATGGGGCAACTCCAGTTCCAGGTCCAACCATCACCAATGGGATATCGGTGTCACACGGAAATGTCATGCTGCCTTTCTTTACCCAGAGAGGGACCCGAGTCTCCCCTGTGCAGGATAGAGATGTAGAGATCAGTGGGTCACACAGCCAAGAGGGGCTCTTTATACAATATGTTATTCTGATAACATGGCACTCACCCTCTTGTGGCCGGAGAGACGCCAGCCACGTAGAGCACAAGCCACGCCGGCTCTCATGTAGTCTGGTTCTGTACTGTACCACGGCCACGAGGATCTGGATTATGTTGGGATGTGCCTGTTCAAGATGTAAGAAGATGGAGTTTATATTGCAAAACTAGCCTGTAATGTCCTCCAAGTAAGGTGTCTGCATTTCAAATGTAACCGGACACTATAGTCACCATAACAACTTTAGCTTAATGAATCAGTTTTGGTGTATAGATCATGTCCCTGCTGTCTTGCTACTCGATTCTCTGCCATTTAGGAGTTAAATCACTTTTGTTTCTGTTTATGCAGCCTTAGCCACAGCCAGTGACTGGCACAGCATGCAATGAAAACAACTGGAAAAGTAACTTACTTTAAAAGTTTTATCTCCTGCTCTGTAAATTAAATTTTAATCACACACAAGAGGCTCCTGCAGGATCTAGCAAGATATTAACAGAGCAGGAGATAAGAAATTCTAAATTAAACAGAACTTGCAATAAAGAAAGCCTAAATAGGGCTCTCTTTACAGGAAGTGTTTAGGAAGGCTGTGTAAGTCACATGCAGGGAGGTGTGACTAGGGTTCATAAACAAAGTGATTTAACTCCTAAATGGCAGAGAATTGAGCCAAATTTGAAATTCACTTTGAATTATCAGTGGATACCCTTGTTAGAATTAATTTATAAAAGTTCTGGTGATAGCATTTATGGAGATCATTCTTCATGTTATTTCGCTGGGAGATTAGATATTGTTCACATAGAATATTCCAACACAGGATAAAATCAATGTTTGCAGAAAAGCAAACACAGACGGGGATTATTCACTGTATATAGAATTGTGCAGGATTGACAGGAGAAATGCAAATATTAAAATATCTGAGATAAGAAAAATAGAGAATGCGTTCTAATTCAGCTGTTTTGCCATAAAAATTTAATTCTCTTCTCAATTCTCCCAAGTTCCTTGTTTAATGGATAAACCCCACATTTCAGGAGATTACACCCAATCAGCTGATCCTATCTGATGCCCAGAGACCTGTTGTCAGATCCCGACTATGGAAGTATACCTGTATATCTCACCTGTATGGAAGAGGCAATGGAGAAAGCTCGCGGACGGATACGAGGGATGAGGTCTAGCAAATAGTCATGAGGAATGCTGCAGGTTGTATGAGGAAAGTCCTGTAGAACCTGTTTGGATGAGATTTCCTCAGTGGATCGGACAGATTGATATCATAATGCTTTACACAGGTTTGAGGGTAATTTGCGGAATTAAACGTGGAAATCAGTCTTAAATCACAAACGAGCAGCTTGTTCCAGAGATCCTCCACGTCTGACACAGGTAGTAATCAGGCATTGCAGCTTAAAGGGGAACTACAGTGCAGGAAAACAAAGTTGTTGTTGTTTTCATATACTTATTTTAACAAAGAATCTATTTACTTTCCAAACTTGAAAGGGTTATTGTATTAAAAAAATAGTGTTGAGATGACAGATTTCCTTCAAAACAGGTAATGACAGAGAGTCATTTAAGACTGTTTAGAGGAATAAAAATCATAATAACATGAAAAAGTTGGGGAGTGTTTGAATATTTATTCATAAATCCAGTTTTATACAACTGGCTTCTCAGATCCATGGTAGGAAGTCGCAGATACGGCTGTCATTGAATCTAACTTCTCAAAATGCATAAATAAAAAAAAAAGATCCATTTTAGTTAAAGGACCACTCTAGGCACCCAGACCACTTGAGCTTAATGAAGTGGTCTGGGTGTCTGGTCCATCAAGGTTTAACCCTTTTTTCTATAAACATAGCAGTTTCAGAGAAACTGCTATGTTTATAATAGGGTTAGTCCAGCCTCTAGTGGCTGTCTCATTGATTTTCACAGCGAGAAGACGCCAGCGTCCATAGGAAAGCATTGAAAATGCTTTCCTATGGACTGACTGAATGCGCGTGCGGCTCGTGCCGCGCATGTGCATACAGCCGAGGAGGAGGAGAGTCCCCCGCCCGGCGCTGGAGAAAGAGGTAAATTTAACCCCTTTCACCCCCTAGAGCCCGGCGGCACCCTCAGGGCACTATAGTGCCAGGAAAATGAGTATGTTTTCCTGGCACTATAGTGGTCCTTTAATAATTTGGTTTGAAGACATTCGTTAATCATTTAGAGAGATCACACATTTGCTTAGAGACCATTTAACCGGGCTGCGATTTTGTATGACGCCCCTTACCTCCAGCGTGGTGCGCCGTGGGCGGTTACAGTAGGCATAGAGTTCCTCCTGGCCGGCAGCAGAACTAAACTCCTTCAACTTCTCCCGCTCCTGCTCGTCTGGAGAAAAATTGGACAAAAGCTCAAAGAAGGAACAGCGAGGGACACAGCAGATATCTAGATATCGCTCCACCAGATATCGCACTGTGCATGGCTGCGGGAGGTTCACTGGGATTTCATTATCTGAAAGACAAGAAAGCATAATCACACAAATTTACTAATGTAACCGACCGCCACGCATGATCTTTGGAGACAAGGTAATAAAGTACAGTGTGGATCTTGCACTCACATGAATCCTTGGCTTCCAACACAAAATGCCTATCTGGATCCAACCGCAACAGACTACAGAAATGCTGTACATGCTGGGGGGAGTTCTGTGGCTGGATCATCACCACGTCCCCGGGAGAAAAACTGCAAAAAGAAAATTGCAGGTCAAGTGGGGACATGTGGAAAATTCACTGTACGACTCAGGAGTTCACAAGTACCAGCTGGGACTTTGGGCAGACAGGGAACATGTTCATAAAACAGATGATTTTGTGTGATCACGGTAGCAGGCTGGGGTGTAGATGATGTATTTTTCCTATATTAATATAATCTATTTTATTCTGATTAACATCTTGGTTATTAAATAACCTTATAAAGGTTACACCACCAGCACTGCCCTGCATCTTACACTGTACATTACATCTTGGTTATTAAATCACCTTATAAAGGGACACACCACCAGCACTGCCTTGTATCTTATACTGTATATTACATCTTGGTTATTAAATCACCTTATAAAGGGGCACACCACCAGCACTGCCCTGTATCTTATACTGTATATTACATCTTGGTTATTAAATCACCTTATAAAGGGGCACACCACCAGCACTGCCCTGTATCTTACACTGTACATTACATCTTATAATTACATTCTAACTGTTCTCCTCGCAGTCTGTGCAGCTGCTTACATGGTCTGTGCACACTGTATCTCAGTTAGATGGGTTCTCTCTTATATTTCTAGTGAGAATGTGCTGCTGCCACGTTCAGCTGGGTTCCATTAATGGAATGATCAGTATGCTAATAGCCTATTTATCTAATTGGGGGACAGCTCTTGTGATGACAAAAATGGGAGGGTCATTTCACGGAAACTATACCCAAGATATGTCTACCAATGAGCGTAACACACTGTATCTTAATGAGTGTAATTAAGCCTGATTAACATTCGATTACAATTCCTTGTGAATTTGTTAATCTACGCACACCCCTGCTGTTTTTGTTCTGTTGTGACTGCGTGTTGTTTGGTTCTAGATACATGCAGTCATGAAATGACTCCATATTCTGCAATAATATTAAAACATGTCGAGGTAAGGAGGCGGTGAAAGAAACGTGAGAACTCACTCGATCCCGGAGCCTGTGATGTCAAACTCGATGAGTCGCACATCTTGGAAATGATCTTCTGATGTTACACGTTCATTGGATAAAATGGGAGCCAGGAACGGATTCAGCTCAGAGGGGGTTTCTCCTTCAGGAAGCCTGGTCCTTGGAATGTTATCTCTGTTACTGTCTTCTGGGGCCAAAACGTCGTTCAGGAATCGGAGAGAGAACTTAGCTGGCAGCCTGGAAACATTGGGAAGATTAGTCGCTTTACCTTAAATGATGTTCTAGATTAGAATCAGAGATCGGAGGGTAAGATATTTTTTGGCTTAAACAGGCACTCTAAGCACCACACGTTACTGTCACCTTATCCATACATACTGTGTAACACAGTAACAGGTCTGCTGATGGAGTAATGCAATTATGAAATGTAACTAACCACGAAAGGGGTTAATATAGGATTCCTGTGAGTCACTCAATATATATAGCCAATAGAAATCATGAACATCCAGGTCACCATGGCAAGGATACCCCCTACTTACATGACGTCATCGCTGATTACATGCAGTCCAGGAGAAAGTGGATATAAGTAGAGAACCTTTCTCCACAGATCTTGTAGCCACGGATCCACTACTGCACCAGGTCTTGAAAGGACAAAATACAGATTACTATACTGCGAGCGTTTTCATTAAACAAGGTACACTGTCACTATGTTACTGACCGAGCAGGCAACTCACCAGATCCAAAGCAGGACAATACGTGAAACATGATTTATTTATTTATGGTCATAAAAGCTGGACTTTGGGAATGTCTAAACACATTGCTTGGCTAAGGAGCTCGCACTTTTTTTTTTCCTTTTATAAAATACCTCCAATATATTGAATTGTCCTCTACTTACCGCTCGTATAAACTGTGGAAAATATGGATAAATAACGGCTCTGTCAGAGGTGATTATTTTTATCTTCACTATGGTTTTTCCTGAAGATTTCCAAGGTTTTTATGCACAAGAACAGAAAGGGGCACAAACGTGACTCGTAGTCTCTCACATTGTGACAGTACAGATGCAGATTTGGAAAAACAGAATATAAAAGACTAAAGGGCAATAAATGGCGATTTAAAAAGTGCAATAGAGCCAAAGCGCAGCTAGTTATCACTCCGGAACCAATTACGGTAATTCCACTAATAAAAAAAACACCGCAAACAAATAAAGTGAACACCGCACAAAATGAATATATAACTGTGGATTATAACTTAATTAATTCAGAACATGCACTCCTCCTGAATGTGAATAACGTATCTGGTCTAAAATATAAGAAAAGGTCTGGAATGATTATCCCTGCAGAGACTAAGAAAACAGAAGTAGTATAGCAGCCACGTATTACTTGGGTAAGAATATTCCCTAAAGGGACACCGTAGGCACCCAGATTACTTCAGCTAAATCAAATGGTCTGGGTGCTGTGTTCCTTTTGCACCTAGTGCTGCAATGTTTACAGTGACTGTCCACTGGGGCGCTTCCGGAATCGTAACTGACTTTTGGTCCGTTATTGGACGCTGGACGTCCTCATGTTCTGCATGAGAACCTCCAACATCAGATTTTCCCCCATCTGAAAGCATTGATTCAGTGCTTTCCTATGGGGAGGTCTAACGCGCGCATGGCATTTGCTGCGTAAGTGCATTAGAACCCACTCGTCGTGGGACGGAGGAGGTGGCGGAGCTTCGACCCAGCGCCGAGAAACAACCTTTATTTACCGGGGAGGGGGATCGTTAGTGCCAGGAATACAGCATCCCTTTAAAGTATCACACTCACATTTCTATGAGCCCATTAGGAAAACCGGCTCAGGTAATACAGCATTGGTGTGATAGGTGTAATTAAGATATAATCCACAATTATACATCCATTTGTGTGCTGTTCACTTTATTTGTTTGCAGATTTTGAAAAGCGGACACATGTAATTTAAAAAAGGAATTAAACAATGGAGGACGTTTGCAGCTTTGTTCATTTTTGGTGAATGATTCGATTCTATTCTATTTTGGAGAAGCTGTAGTATTTACCCCAGTTCATGCTGATCGTCACCCAGGGCTACCGGTAGGATGGGATTGGCTCCGAGCTGAGCCAGACGTTTGTGGAGCTTTTTGGCGACGAAGTTAAATCTGAGAATGAGAATAAATAGAGTTTAACAGTCTGACATACATTACATTTCTATACAATCTGGAGGAAAACATAGTTTATACTCAGAGTAACCCACATGTTACACTGTAACCACCAGGCTCAATATCTGCCACGTATAGAACAGCCAGAGGTTACACTAACCGCCAGGCTTGATATCTGACACGTACAGAACAGCCAGAGGTTACACTGTAACCACCAGGCTCAATATCTGCCACGTGTAGAACAGCCACATGTTACATTATAACCGCCATTCAAAATATACCGTGTGGAGAGACACTTAATATAACCGCCACTATAGTTAAGGGTGCTATTCCAAAGCAGTACTCCCTCAAATACCAATATAATAATAACTCAAAAAACAAGGAATGCACACCAACTGATACAATAGTATCTATCTATACATATATATTTATTGCAATACAAGTTTAGAAAATACATACAATATATAATAGAATAGTGACCACATAGGCTAAACAACTATATAGGTATATTTACCAAATTCCACAAGCCTATCTGGGCAGAAACACGAGTCAAAAACAATCCCCCAACGTTTCGGCTCCTCCTAGTAGGAGGATGTGCCAGGCTCGATATCTGCCACATGTAGAACAGCCACAGGTTACACTGTAACTGCCAGGCTCAATATCTGCCACGTATAGAACAGCCACAGGTTACACTGTAATCGCCAGGCTCGATATCTGCCACGTATAGAACAGCCACATGATACACTGGAACAGCCAGGCTCGATATCTGCCACGTGTAGAACAGCCACATGTTACATTATAACCGCCAGGCTCGATATCTGCCACGTGTAGAACAGCCACATGTTACATTATAACCGCCAGGCTCGATATCTGCCACGTGTAGAACAGCCACATGTTACATTATAACCGCCAGGCTCGATATCTGCCACGTGTAGAACAGCCACATGTTACATTATAACCGCCAGGCTCGATATCTGCCACGTATAGAACAGCCACAGGTTACACTGTAACCGCCAGGCTCAATATCTGCCACGTATAGAACAGCCACATGTTACACTGTAACCACCCGGCTCAGTGTATTCCACAAATTAACAGCCACACATGCTGAAGTAATTAGTTAATATTATTGTCTTACTTTGGGTACGAGGAATCGCCAAGACCTAGCACAGCATAATCCATCCGACACAAGGAGTTCTGGGGTAGATTCTTCCGAAAAATGAATCTCCAAAAATTCTAAAATGAAACATTAAATAAGTATATCAGGGATCATAAATATATCATTTAACTTAATTTAAACACTAAGTGTTCATCTTATCTAATAAAACATCACATTTAGGACATAGATTATATATTATATCCCATAAAGTGATACTATTCCAGGTTTGTATGCGCGTTAGGCCAGGCACTCATCACCTACTGTTTCTGTATGTAAAACATGTTTTGTCAGAATTCTTTGTCTTGGTTTATCTATTGTACAGCGCTGCGGAATAGGTTGGTGCTAAATAAATAATTGTTGTTTTTCCAAAGGTATATAAATAGTATGTGTAGCTGTTATTCTTGCCACCAACCATTAGGTGGCAGTATTAGCTGAATGTTTATTTAACCAGTGGGCAATGTGTGTTTGCTCCAAATGTTGTTAAACAGGAATGGTCTGTTCAATTCTAACCATTAATTAAAGTTACATATCAGATGATCTATGATTTAATTGCCTCTGGTTTTTTATGTTGATTTGTACTAATTGCAACGGTGTGCTGGCATCTCCTGGCATCTGATGCTGATTTCAAACGTCCCATGATTCTCTGTACGAGCTTGCTTGCGAAGCTGTCTGGGTTGCTCACGCTGTATACCCTGTTTAGAATGTAAGTGTGTTTTAGCACTGCCTGCTTCACCCCAGGAAATATTTCAGCAGCTTTTGGTTGTGAGAAGGATGAGAACTATGGGTGGGATTAATGGGTGGGATTAATGCAGAAAACTAGCAACCCAAGTACAAAGTACTGTCCTGGCTCAGGACCATGGGAGTGGTAGATTGCTATGGAATAGAGGAGAGTTTTCCCCCGATAACCTTTAGTTCTCTTTCTCCCCCGAGCGTCGTTATTCTCCCTTAATAGGCTACTGCAGATGTTCAAATCTACCTTCATATTGTCTGGAGGGTCCCCTTGTCCTGTGGTTGCGCAGACAAAAACAACTAGCGGCTCGTTTATAAGGTTAACCTGCAAGAGAAAATAATTGAGACACAATTTATCAGCTGCAGGTCCCACAGTGTTTCAATGTGCTGTCCCCTGGTTAGGTAGACAGACGATATATCTCAGCTACAGATAAACCGTGCTGGTGAGAGCAGGAATTTCTGCATTTAACACCGTACATTGCTGATCTGAAAGTGAACACTTGGACAGTCAGAAAGTGCAGCTCTTATAGGGAGAGAAGGATTCAATCCCAATATCTGCACATGAGCTCGAAATCTGAAAATTACTTTTCTAAGATGACTTTCCAATTCCACTGCTTGTCAGGGGGCTATATTTTAAAGTTAAAGTTGAAAGGAGTGACAATCATTTTAGGCAATTGAGAAGTTTAAAAAAAATCTAACCTTGATGAGTTGGAGTATAAACTGCCTCTGCCCAGCATGATAATATTCTAGTAAATAACAGAACTCATACTGAAAATGTAAAACAGTAATATTAAATATTTTGCATAATCGGCTTTACATTTTCAGTATAAGTTCTGTATCTGGTCAGGGAAAGAATTAATGCATCAGACTATTTGTTTCAAAGTTTAAATTTGTCATAAAGGAAGGGACACTGCAACATTAAATGAAGCGATATTTTGTTTTAAAAGGGACACTATAAGCAACAAAATAACATTAGCACTTTGGTGTATAGATTATGGCCCTGCAGTCTCAATGCTCAATTCTCTGCCATTTAGGAGTTAAATCAAGAATGCTGGGTGGCCGCCATTCGTATACCGAACACGAGGTCGCGGCCATTTTAAACACGCGAACGCACAGCAGTGTTCGACGCCCAACTCATGGAACTGAAAACGGATACATTTTGGCGCGAAAAACCGCTGAAGCCGCCGACCTCCCTTCTTGTTTGGTAGAAGTGCACGAACGGCCCTATATTCGATAGTTTGTACCTGTTGTTCTGACGCTTATAGTGTCCCTTTAACATTTGGCTTATTCCTTCACTACGCTATATGCCAGGTGCTTCCACTCCACCTTCCACACAAATAAAAATAAGTAAATTAACAGATAAAAGTGCCGTAGGGATCTGGACTGTGCCTTTAAGGCTTTATTCACTAAGCAGGGGTGGTGGAGAATTTACATGGAAATGGTACATTTTTAGTCAAAATATACAAACTGGAAAACATGTCCAACCTCAGCTTCTACCCAGCGTTTGACATAAAAACATTACAGCTTAGTTACATTGAATCCATTGGTGACAATGATTAGGGTAAAGCATTCATCACATCCTGACATTAAAGGGACTCTACAGGCACCCAAACCACTTCATGTCAATGTTGGATCTCAATGATGTGGTCTGGGTGCCATGTTCCCCTTGATTTAACCATTGCCATTCTGCAGGAATATTTACATTGCAGGGTTAATATGCAGTCACACAAGACAGCCACTGGAGGCACTTCTGCAGAATAAGCCAAGTAAAACTCTCATGTCTAGCAGATGGCCTCATACAAAGAGTGACGAGACCAATCTCGGCACATTGCATTGGAGAAGCCTGTTTGCTCGCCTGTTGCCTTTGGATTATGGCCCCATGTTAAAAGCCTTCTTTTTCCCCTGCAGAAAAGGCTTATTCGTGCCTTTCTGCCCGGTGTTCGGTAGATTCAATCTACCAAACTAACACACGAATGACTGGACCACCTGGGAGCTGGAGTGTGTCAGCAATTAACCCCCCAGAAGCTGCGGTTAACCGCAGCTTAATTGACGAATGCTGGGTGGCCGCCATTCGTATACCGAACACGAGGTCGCGGCCATTTTAAACACGCGAACGCACAGCAGTGTTCGACGCCCAACTCACGGAACTGAAAACGGATACATTTTGGCGCGAAAAACCGCTGAAGCCGCCGACCTCCCTTCTTGTTTGGTAGAAGTGCACGAACGGCCCTATATTCGATAGTTTGTACCTGAATACACCATACCCCAGATAGCCATCCGTGGAGTCTATTCGTATGGAGAACAGACTTTGTGAACACTTTAACTCCACGGCGATTGGACTGTGTGCATAGGATCTGAGCGCTATTCAGTACTTTTATGCGCTCAGATCCCAGCTATCTGGGGATGGGTTGCAAGTATATATTTTGTGTGATAAATGTAATATTGTGTATTTTATTGTGTTTTAGTATTTTACTGTAACCATGTGGGTAATGGAGTTTTGCCTCTGTCCTTGGAGATAATTGGATTACTTCCCAATTATCTCCAGGATAGAGGGGAGGGATTGTAATGTATTGGGGGAGTGTTTTAACCATGTCTGCCTGTGATTGGTCATTGTACTATTTGTGTCCCAGTCTCCCATTTGGTCCCCTAGGGGAGTGTCCACCAGGTGGGAGACCTGCATAAATACTGCATAAATACCTGCATTAAATAGACCACTGCTTGACCCTCAACATGGAGCCTTGTCTTGTCTTTGGGGGGGATTTACTGTATGCTGATAGAGACTGATTGCTAGGAATGTAAGCCGCATGGGTGCTTTTCCTATTCGTCTGCTAGCAGCTATTCGTGAGGTTCCAGTTCGGGAGTTTGGAGTGCTATATTGTATGCAGTTGGGGAGTTCAGAGCTTTCCCTTATATGCGGTTCAGGAGTTTTGTGTTCTGCAGTAGCTGTGCCTGTATATCTGGGAGGGGAAGATCTCCTAAATGGCGGTTTAACCCTTTTATGCCTGGGGGTGCCATTACACAAAGCATCGGACTGGCGCAGTGCAGCGTTTTGTCGCACATGAGCACTAGTCTCCCATTGCTTTCCAATAAAGGGGGGCAGGGAACCTAAACCGTTAACAGGGCACTATACTGTTAAGAAAACACACTTGCATGTCTAACGCTATAGTGTTCCTATGATCAGGAAATTACATAATATGTACTGGTTTGGCCTCCTCTGCTTCGATATATGGTGGTTGCCTCCAGCGTGCTCTTGCGCTGTCACTCACCACACTGTAGCTGTCCAGAGCTTCCATTCGGCAAATAAAGTGTCGCCTCTTCGCCGCTCTGCAGATTCGCTCTGCCATGTCTTCGGCAGTTCCTGTCTGACTCCCAAACAGAATCAGGATATTTCGCTCTTCCATCTATGGGTTAAATTTAAACCTGGTACATTAATACGCCCCCAGCAATTTCAGCTGCAGCAACAAAGTATACAATTCAATCATTAACAGAATAAAATCCAAATGGCGAAATTACAATGTAATCTGAATACCTCCCCTTCCACCTTCCCACAGAACAGATAAAAGAATATTTAATGCCATGATGTGAGAGTACAATCTGTGTCTGGTTTTACACAATCCTCTAAGTGAGATAAATCAGCACTCACACTCCACACATTAAATGCCAGAACCTCCCTGGTCATCTCCCTTAAAGGAACACAAACCTGGATTCCTAATGCTTTAGTGTCCCTCTCCCTAGGTATAGTGGTACATCATTTGTGCCATAAAAAGAATAAAATAGAGGAATTTACTTACCAATTTTCCCAGCTCATCTCCCCTCCTCCAGCGATGTCATGGAGGAGGCATGGCTCCTTTGGTGATAGACCAATCCAATGCGTGCCATAGAGAAGCATTGGGGACTTGATGCACATGCATGGCGAGCCCATAGGAAGGTAATGAATCAATGTGGACCACAACATCTGAGATTTACTCAGTCATTGCAGCGGGAGCTCCTCTAGCGGCTGATTGGAAGACAGTCACTGGAGGTATATTTCATCCTTCAAAACGGCAATGTTTTACTGAGAATGTTTAAAATGACAGGGCCACTGCGATGTCAGGGGTGACTTTAGTGGGACCTTTGATCACAGTCCATATAATAATAATAATAATAACAAAGTATTTAACCAGGAAAGGCATATTCAGATTACTCTGGTTTTCAAGTACGCCCTGGGGCTGTAGTATTCTGTTAAAATCTTTGACAATATCAGTTCACACTAAATGTGTGCATCTCAGCCATTTATGCCATTAACATAATCTGTCACCGAGCAGCCATTTATTCCATTAACATAATCTGTCACCGACCAGCCATTTATCCCACAGTCATTACGTCATCGAGAAGCGATTTATGCCTTTAACATAATCTGTCACCGGGCAGCCATTTATCCCGCTGTCATTACGTCACCGAGCAGCCATTAATTCCACTGTCATTACGTCACCGAGCAGCCATTAATACCGCTGTCATTACGTCACCAAGCAGCCATTAATCCCACTGTCATTACGTCACCGAGCAGCCATTAATCCCACTGTCAGCATTTGTCACCGAGCAGACATTAATCCCGCTGTCATTACGTCACCGGGAAGCCATTAATCCCGCTGTCATTACGTCACCGAGCAGCCATTAATCCCACTGTCATTACGTAACCGAGCAGCCATTAATACCGCTGTCATTACATCACCGAGCAGCCATTAATCCCACTGTCATTACGTCATCGAGCAGCCATTAATCCCGCTGTCATTACGTCACCGAGCAGCCATTAACCCCCGTCATTACGTCACCGAGCAGCCATTAATCTCGCTGTCATTAAATCACCAAGCAGCCATTAATCCTACTGTCAGTATTTGTCACCGAGCAGCCAATTATCCCACTGTCATTACTTCACCGAGCAACCATTAATCCCACTGTCATTACGTCACCGAGCAGCCATTAATCCCACTGTCATTACGTCACTGAGCAGCCATTAATCCCACTGTCATTACGTCATCGAGCAGCCATTAATCCCACTGTCATTACATCATCGAGCAGCCATTAATCCCACTGTAAGCATTTGTCACCGAGCAGCCAATAACCTCGCTGTCATTACGTCACCGAGCAGCCATTAACCCCCGTCATTACGTCACCGAGCAGCCATTAATCTCGCTGTCATTAAATCACCAAGCAGCCATTAATCCTACTGTCAGTATTTGTCACCGAGCAGCCAATTATCCCACTGTCATTACTTCACCGAGCAACCATTAATCCCACTGTCATTACGTCACCGAGCAGCCATTAATCCCACTGTCATTACGTCACTGAGCAGCCATTAATCCCACTGTCATTACGTCATCGAGCAGCCATTAATCCCACTGTAAGCATTTGTCACCGAGCAGCCAATAACCTCGCTGTCATTACGTCACCGAGCAGCCATTAACCCCAATTGTGCGCATCCGCCCCTACTTAACGCCAGAGTCGGCTAAGGTGCTGGTCCATTCCACTGTCCTCTCCTGCCTTGACTACTACAATCCGCTTCTCAGTGGTCTGACGTGCTCCCAACTCGCCCCATTGCAGTCGATAATGAATGCGGCAGCAAGGCTCATCTTCCTGTCCGCCAGCACCTCCCACACCTCACCCCTCTGTCAATCCGTGCGTGTCATGTATTCATCCGCACATAATAATGTTGTTAATGGCATTTACCGTCCCGACAGGTAAAGTTGTGCCGAGCAGCATTACCATCCTGACAGGAAAAGTTCTGCCGAGCAGCATTACCATCCTGACAGGAAAAGTTCTGCCGAGCAGCAATCATGCACCTGGAAACCTGGCAATTGCTTTTGGGGTCAAAGGCCGTTTATGGCCAATCAGATCCACAGGAGGGTTTGTGCTGAGAAGCAATCATGCACCTGGAAACCTGGCAATTGCTTTTGGGGTCAAAGGCCAGTTACAGCCAATCAGATCCACAGGAGGGGTATTTAAACCCAATTCTCCTCTTGCTCATTGCCCTGTTGTGGTTTCATCCTGATGGTAATCCGAGAGTGTGTTCCTGATCTTGATTTTCTGGTATTTGACTTCCCTGAATTCTGGTATCCTTGACTTTTGACTTTACCTCATCGTTTTGACTATTCTTGGAGATGTTAAGTCCGGCCATTCTCAGGTCCTATTATAAATTATCCTTTAATCCTAGGTGTGACAGAGTACTGTGTGCTGGATCAACTTGTAATCCTGACACTGCATTGGTATAGGGCTCAATATAAAATTCTGGTTCTAGCTTTCAAATCTCTACATAATGCTGCTCCCATCTATTTATCCTCCCTAATACACAAGTATGTCCCGTCTAGGCCCTTACGATCTGCTGAAGACCTACTTCTATCTTCTGTCCGTACACCCACCTCTGATGCTCGCCTTCATAACTTCTCGAGGGCTGCACCGTTCCTGTGGAACTCGCTTCTCTCCTCCGTTAGATGCTCACCCAGTCTCCACTCCTTCAAAAAAAAATCGCTAAAAACCCACTTCTTCATAAAATCGTATCAATTAAACTGTTAATGGCTCCAAAACCTCACACCAAGTCTATATTGAATACTATTCTACCAATCTACTTCAATATACTATATTTACCATTTTACACCACTCCCTCTAGCATGTAAGCTCATTGAGCAGGGCCCTCAACCCCTCTGTTCCTGTGTGTCCAACTTGTCTGGTTCCAACTACATGTTTGTTAGTCCACCCATTGTACAGCACTATGGAATTTGTTGGCGCTATATAAATATAATAAATCACTCTCCCTCACTTACACTTTCATTCCCTACCTCTCACCCTCTCTCCCCCCCCTCGTGTGCTCTCTCTCTCCCCCCATCTCCCTCGCTCACTCTCCCACTCCATCACTCTCTCTCCCAATACCCTCGCACTCTCTCCCCCACCCAACCACAATCTCTCTCTCTCCCTGTAGCGGAGCTGCAATATTAAATTCCACGATCTCCGCTGGTACAGAAGGTAATCCAAAGTAAAGCGCTGAAAAGTAGTTGCAATATCCCAAATCCCCCCGGACGAAACACAGTTCTGGGAGTCAACTGAGCTTTTATTCACAAGTCACAGTATTTATGCAAGTCCCCATGCAAGGGGTTTCCCTACTGACATTGCAGGGGTTATACAGTAGGGGTCTACATGGGGGACTTAACAATCTGGACCTTTCTCCCATCAGGCACTGCTGGACGAGAGGGATACTCCCATTGTAATATACTGTTAAGTGGATTATCCCTCCGTGCAGCAAAACCAACATTTTACATTAAAATACATAACTCTGCCATCATTCACTTTATTTAGACGAATGGACGTTCGGTAGATAGCTGGGGTCTGAGCGCACATTTCGTGAGAACACCGCTCAGATCCCAGCATTAATAACCGAACGCTGCACGAAATACACTTTAACATTATGTTCGCCT